AATTCGGCAATCTTGTTGATGTTGTTATCAATCGCAGCGATACTCGTTTGCAGCTCTGTGATGTCGTTGAGGAAGCTGACCATATCCCCTTGGCCGTTTTGCGGTATAGACATCTGCTGCAGCTCGATCGAACTGGGTGCCTGCTCTGTAGCATACCCACCGATGTAGCCACTTTGCTGCTGTTGTTGCTGGCCATATCCACCACCGCCGTAGCCACCCTGTTGTTGCCTATAATCAGGCTGCCGTTGGCCAAACGCAGACTGCTGCTGCCCATACCCTGCCTGCTGATCATAAGCGCCATGTGAAGCTCCTCCTGTGACCGGGTAGGAACCGCTGCGCCTAGCCAAAGGGAGATACAAGTGAGTCCGGTAGGCCAGACTCGAAAGAAAAGGGAACTCACCCTCCATTGCCTTCTTGCGCTCCATTACGATGAGAAGCGTCATACCCGCCACCATCTTGCCCGCCGCCCTGCGGGGCCTGATGCAAGCGTGTGGAAAGAAAGTAGGGATGTAAGACGTGGCCTCGAGGCCGTCTAGTTTGTCAAGACGCGGGCATTTCCTGGACGCACCCTCATGGCAGCCAATCTATCACGAGCCATCCTTTCCGTGCTACACTCAAAGGTGTAATTCTGCCCGCCCTCTTACACCGCAATGGTTAAAGTGGTAATGGACCCGCTGAGCTGGCGAAAGAGTCGCGGGTGAGGAGCACCTTCGAGGTGAAACCTGCAGCTTGCGCGCGAAGCACGCTCTCTGTGCAGAGACCTTCGAGGAGCCCTGGTATGCTTTCTGCTTCGCCTCTGACGCTATTTTGCGCAGGTGGCCTCCTAATCAATGGCAACCGGAATGAGGTGGGATCATGGAGATATGTGGACTTGGGCATTAGACGTGCATCTCATCGTGCCGTGTTCGTGGAGGGAGATTTGATTTCTGGACAGAATCCACACCGTTCCCGGATTTCCAGGTTTCAACCTCTTCTGCAGTTCGGGACCCTTCTATTTCTCGGCCCCGATAGCCCGGCGGCTGTGCAGTGTAACCAAATATCAGGGGATTTTGGTTAACAATCAAGGAGTTACCGTTTCAAAATGTTCACCAAATTGTCTGGTCCGAGGAGCCAGTTTCGGTCTTGTGCACGCGGGAAAACGGCGCAGCAAAAAAAAGCAACTGAAAAGGTGATGGTATGCAACAATAATTCATCCTGTAATGCAACATATTGGTCTGTACGCTGTGCGACAAAACCTTTGATGCGTGGCGCGCCTCGCTATTTTCTAACCTCTGAGAACTGTAAGGCCGTACGGGTCAGTTTCTGGCTGCCGTGTGGCGTACCCTGCACCCGATGGTCGCTGCCCAAATCTACCCCCTGGCGATTCCGGTGCGGCTCGAAAAGCGTTCATGGCCCCTTCTGCCGGGCAGCCACTGGCATCTCTGATTTGCTCCGCCTCGGGCAGCCATTTCTGCATGTTTTCGATCCTGCTGCGAGTGACAGGATGTGTGCTCAGCATCCCCTCCAAAACCTCCCCAATGCCACCAGTCTGGGTTCCCTCGCTGGCCTGCATTCGCCGCCACAGGTGCTGCGCCTGACGCGGGTCGAAGCACGCTTGCGACATGAGCCGCAGACCGATATAGTCCGCTTCTATCTCGGTCTTGCGTGAGTTGGGCAGCTGCAACAGCAGCGTGAGCGCCGCGCGTGATAGACCAATATCCAGTCCGAGTAGCTCGAGAATAGCCGCACCGGCGATGAGCACCTTGAAGCCAGCCATCTTTTCAGCGCCGTGCCGTGCAAGTTGATGGGCAATTTCTGAGAGCATGGAGACAATTCAAGCTCAGGTAAGTAGAGGATTCCCCAGCAATGTTTTCACGCAGTCCCTTACCGTGTCCCAGGACGGTCGCGAGCCCGTCTTCATCTTTACAGATAGGTAAGATACCCGTGAAGACGAAGATTTTCCCTCCCGGCAGGACGAATGCATTCTTCTCCGAGTCATCGTGAATGACAAAAACCTCCCAATCTGTCTTGGAACTTGCGTCGGGATCACTGCCAGACTTTCGCCGTCCTAGCACTCCAAGAGGCTTGCTCCTGAGGAACTCGTCATCCTTGTGCGCATCACCCATTCTGACCTCGCCGTCACCTCCGACGCTGCTTAGCCCTTGCTCGGCCATACCGGTGCTCTCGATAGCGCGCACAATGCGCTCCGCGACCCGCTTGACCATCTGACTGTAAGGATGAGACGGACTGAGTATTCGGCCGCGATATTTCCTCAGCATCTCCTTGTATGACTCGATGCCCATCTGCTCTTCCTGCGTCGGGCTGACATCGTTAAAGCGCAGCCGCCCTGTCTGCGGCACCCGCTCCAGATGCATGACGTAGTAGCCGCCCCCCAGGCCAATGATGATGAAAATGACAGGAGGGATGCGGCCGAATGGCCCTTGGCCGCTGCCACCTCCACCCAAGCGGGTGGGCACGCCATTGAGTGAAGCGCCAAAGGAGCTGCGGGGTGACTGACCTGGGATTCCGGGAAAGCCACTAGGGATTGAGCGTCCTTGCCCAAATCGTTTGTAACTCGCTGATCGACGAAACTGGCTTGAAAAGGTGCGCCGCTGCAAAAGCCTTACAGATGTAAGGCTCTCAGAGTATTGACCAAGCGTCTGTCTCATCATGCGCCGCTCGCTCGCTTCCTTGGCCACTCGTGCAGCAGCACCAGCAGCAGTGCCGCACAGTTTGCTGCATGTTGAAAGTCCAACAGAGCGTAGGGAGCAATGCATCGGGATGGAGCAGGGGTGCCTGGCGGATCAGAACGACTAGGATGATCGTTCCGGGTAACCTGCACCTGCTCGCAGGTACATTGGTGCGCGAAATGATGAAGAGAATGTACTTTGCACGCAATGGAACTCAGCTTTGATACGTCAGAATATATCTGCGTCCTGCCAGATGATCGAGAGCAGATCGTTGTGCCGTCAGCCCATCATTCGTCACGGCGGGCGGTGCAGTGTGCGGAACAGGAGGGGAAGGAGGTTTGCGTAAAGCCGAGGGCGTCATCTATATACGGCCGGTGGCAATGGAAACAGATGTGCCCCTTCTGACTTCTCAGACAAGGAGACGATGCACAGCAGCTCAAAGCTGTCCACGGATCAGCAACGAGTAAAACATTTCTCGCCTGCAAACGCAAGTTGCTTTCGGGCCGTCGATCTGCCAATCTTTCGAGCTCAAGCAAGTAACATGCCGCCAAAACGCAAATCCAATCCCACAACCCCGTCGAAAGTTGCTTCATCCTCAGCGATTGAGCAGCCGTCTTCGGGCGGGTCTAGCAGACGTAGTGTACGCGCCAGCGTAAGCCAGAAGCCAACAAAATACGTGGAAGTCGACAGCGAAGGCAATGAAGCCTTCACTTCAGAGGAATCGTCCGACGTTGAGGAGGATGAAACGAGTGAGGACAGGGCTGCGGAGCTGTCATCCCATGGGAAAGCCAAAGGCAAGGGGAAAGCATCTACACTGGCCAATTCAAAAGCAAATGCGAAAGGAAAGGGAAAAATGAAAGGAGCACGTAACAGCAAACTGGAGGACAACTTTGTGATCGAAGAAGATACGAATTCCGATATCGCCGACCAGGACGATTTGGCTCTGTCTTCCGATGTCTCTAGCCTCAGTGACAGTGACTCATCGGTCCCGGCGCCTAAGAAGCGAAAGATTCAAAAGTGGAACGGAAAAACTCAAGGACAGACGGTTGGATCGAGCGCAAACGAACGACGGTCCACAAAGCCAAGTGGCAACGGCCCTGGCAGAACGGTCATCACCCTTGCCAAAGCGCCCAGCAAGCAACGTGAGTCTGATTTCGTGTGACGGACGAAGCTCTTGTTATTTCGGACTGCTCCATTGTCTTCCTCTCTATTTCGCAGCCCCTCCGCATATCATCTCGGACACCATGATGAATTTTCTGTCTTCTCTGAAAGATCCTGCGAATAATGATCGTGACTGGTTCCAGCAGCACGACGCGCTGTATCGCGTGAGTACCGTGTGAGCTCGTATCTGTGCTCGCTTCTGGAGAGCTCATTCTTTTCTTTGACCTTGAGGAGTATGCATGGGACAACTGGAATGCATTTGTCACTGTTTTGCTACCACGGCTGATGGAAGAGGCAGATGAGACGCTTCCATTCTTACCCACCAAAGACATGGTGTACCGGATCTAGTGAGCGCCTGCCTCGCACCGCATCATTTGGCTTGATACTTCAGCTTACAACGCGCCTTTCTCACAGCCGAGATGTCCGCTTCAGCTCCGACAAGACACCATACAAGACTGTGAGCTTGTGTAGATGGTTCGTCACGACCAAAGCTATTAACGAGAAGCCCTTTTCCTTCGCAGTACATGTCGGCTACATTCTCGAGGGGAGGGAGGAAAGGTGCCTACGCGGGCTACCATCTCGAGGTTAAGCCGGGAAGTCAGTCGTTGTAAGTTGATGGCATTTTGATTCTCTCTTGGACTTTTAGAGGAGTCTGATGATCTCCATGTTCTAGCATCGCGGGAGGCAGATGGTGTCCGGAAAAGGAGCACCTTCAGATCTTTCGGCAGCACATCATTGATGACGACGAAGAAGGCAGGCGGTTCAAGGAAATTGTTAGTCATTACTGGCGGATTGATGTTCAATCGGCACGGTTTCTTCGGATGAGCTCGCTGAATCTTCGAGCACTATTTTCTGAAACCACTGCAAGCTCAATGGATCGGACTTCAAGAATTTCTTTGGCCCCGCGAAGCCTGGCGGTCGAGGGCTTGGCCGCTCAAGTAGTGTTTTTGGGCATTCGGATGAGCTCAAGGTCGCCCCAAAGATGCCTGGCGTGGACAAAAATCATCCACAAATTGACTGGCTCAAATTACGGTCCTTTTATGTCTCGAGAACGTGGGTTACAGTTGAGTGCAGTGAACGAGTGCGCAATTTACTGATCCGCTTCTCGACGGTACTCTCGTTCTCTAATCTCTGAACAGGTTCGAGGATGCAGACGTGTGCAAGGAGGATTTTGTGGATGAGATCGTGCGGACTTGCAAGGTCATGCAGCCATTTGTGGAATTGCTCAACGACATGATCTATCCACCGCCAACACCACCTTCATCTGATGACGACGAATGAGCTTGCCCTCTGGCCCTCGAGGAGATCATGCAGCAGTTGCCATCAAATCGCCGACTACCATTGCCCCTACAATGGCTGCTTTTTATCCGGACCGTTTAAGAATTTTTTGTACGGAACACGTTTACTGTTAACCACTCATGAAATTCATATTTTGAATTCAATTGAAAATAAAACATGCTGCAATTGCAACGAAGAGAGCATAATTGACTTCCGGCATAATTCAAATACTTGGCTGTTGATGTTCGTACCATAAGAAGTTGTTGCTTCGTGCATTGACAGAGTCTCGAGCCCGTTCGCAGGATGTCGCTGGGCACTTCTTAACGCATATGCGGTGCAGCCGATTGGTCAAGAGAATACCATTACAAATCCATCTAATGCGAAGCGATCTGCAGCGGCTAAGGATCTTGTCAACAATCGAAGGTCGAAAGGCAAAATCGAGAGAAGGTTGAAGACGAAAGCGGAGAGAGCGGAGGCTGAAACCGACCGTGTGATCGCGGATGAGAAACCCCATCGAAGAGGGTGCAGATTTTGCGGCTCAGAAGAACATTTCGCTCCCCCACGCAGCATCTGAAGGGGGTCAGGCGGAGCTTGGCGCTCATTTTAGAACGCCAGAATCGAAGCTCAACAAGTGAGACGCGCGGCGAAGTACGCGACTCGGACAGGAAACGCAACGCTCTCGCAAAGTACCGCAAACTGATTCCTTTCAGATCCGAGCACAGCAGACGATGATGACTATTGGGTGGACAAAGTCATAGCGGAAGCTAGGTCAGCCAGACACGCTACTCTTTTTGCATTCCAAGCGTGTGCTCACACTTTCACCGTTTTGATAATTCAGCTTGTCGCCAGTATGGCAAGAGTTGTGGCGCAGCGCAAGAGGTACAGTGGCCTTCAAGACACCTCTCATCCCCTCACCCTCCGTGTTGATAGATCAACGCGCGCTCAAATGTCCAAGCCGATCATTCCGCTGCCTCCTGGACCAAAGCAAGTACATCGAAGCAAAGGATGAGAAGCAATCCAAAAGCAGGAAGTATGTGATAGGACAAACTGACAGTCAAACAGTGAATGACCTACAATCGCACCTGCTGCAGCGCACCCGAGCATGTCCGTACGAGATGGCTGGATGCGCTTGGCGCAAGAGCTGCAGACATCGGAATCGAACATCTATACCATATTTCGTCGAATGTTCGACCAAAAATCGCTTCTTACGGTCGCAAAGCTCTTCACTTTGTGCCGTCGCAACGCATGGCTTGGCTTGGAGGTAAGGTCATATACTTCTTGAGATAAGTACTTCGGCACGAAGCACTTATGCCAGAGCGACGCAAGATACTTATATTCATCACGAATATTTGAACAAACATACCCTGTACTGCTGAACCCATGTTCAAAATCTTCAAAGGCAATGATGTGAGTCACGCTCAGATACGCGTGAAAGGTTTCAGGCTGTAGCTGATGACAATTTTGCACATTTGTTTCGCTGTATGGCTAGAAAAAATTGTCGCATCGGGCACGGATGTGGTGCTAATGCCCATGGACCTTAATGAAAGGACTCAATGGTCACTCTTGGTGATATAACTTGTCAGCCAAACTTTCATTTACTTCCATCCTATGCACGGTTCTCCCCTTGAAAAAATGTTGGAGACGGTGTGAGGATGGAGGCCATTGGGAGCAAAGCGGGAAGGTAACCCCAAATGATTGGTCAAAGTGGACGTCGAAACTTGCGCATGATTGTCCATGGCAACTTGATACATGGAGCTGAGGGATGCTCAATGATGAAAGATACGTATTTCAGGAACGAATACGATGACGAGAAGGGCAAGCTCCTATGGTTCCCCCAAGGCGGAGGACATGAATTGGATGAGGCTCAAATTCTTGCTGCGGATTAAAGACTCGCCTGAATAAATAGTGCATGCACTTAATGTTGCGATTTATTTTCAAGCCTTCCAAGCTTTCAGACGTGGAGAAAGAAGAGAACTGTCAGCTGTCGTGCCTTCAACCGGAGCAAGTTGGCATATGTGGCCTCCTTGCGATTGCCAGGTTGACGTGAAGCGTTGGTCACGTTGGTAGATTGCAAGTATGGCGTGTACAACAAGCCCGAGGATGTCATAGTCGCATTCGTACGTGCTGTAGGTTATGGATGCAATGTGCAAGACAAGCATATATGGACAATGACGAAAGCGAAGTGATGAAACTTGTGCCAAGCTGATACACCCATATTTAGAAAGCGGAGGGGAAAAAGGGCGCGAAGCCCTTGTTAAATGAATAAAGCAACAAATGACACGAAAATCAACAACCGAGAGTCAGCTGCTTACTGGGAGAAGCGGGGAATTTCAATTCAAACCTAGGACGGTTCCAAAGGGGTTCGAGATTCGAGAAACTCGGAAACTGCTTTTTCCAAGCTGGCCCATATGTCACATTGACCCATGGGCATACGAACTTCATCTCGGCTGCGCTGCTCGTAGCAGAGCCGCGGCTCATGCTCCTCAGGTGCATATGTACTGAAGGCTGGTCGACGATGGCCAACAACCCATGATAAGCCTTTCTTCCCTGCCAGCGTTAATGCTGCAGCTTGCACTTCCGCAATCTCAATCTCAATGTCACAAGCTCATCGTAATGTGGCAAATTGGTTATCTACTCTTATGCATCCGCAGGCATCTGCATCCCCTATTTGCGGCTCGACGCGCGGAGCTTCATAGTTCGACGACCTAGGTAGCAGGCACCATCCGCTCCAGCCAGTCTGTAAGCTTGGGCCCTCTGCTTCCTAACCCTTCGGGATTACGTTCGCGGAGCATTCTTTCGGTTTGGATGCCGTGGCAGCCACTTCAAACTGCTGACGAACAATGGGTCACCACACTTAGCAAAAGAATTATGGTATCATCTTGTCGTGTTCAAAAGACTCAAACAATGACAGTGGTACATGATGCATGCTGGTACGGGCGCGACAGCGCTGTCACAGCTCTCGCAAGCATCAAGAGCCAGATGCCCGGACTCCAGATGACCGTTTGAGCACCCTGAAGAACAATCGCTACTAGAGTCCTTAAGTTCTGTCGCGTATGGGATCAAGAATCAACAGCTGCACTTGCACTAGAACACAAGCGAATGTCTCCCACCGTGCAATGATGGAGAGAAGATGTGCAGCTGACTGAACTGGTACAAGAACCTAGTAGTCGCAGCAAAGCAAAGAACGGGCTTCACTGTAGGACGGCTCGGTTAATCTGCCAAGCAAAGGTCACGTCTCTGAGGACGATTTGTTCGTTGAAAGCTTATTGCAACGGAACCATCCCTTGTTGAAGACGCGGCCATTCAGTATAAGAGGGGGCGCTTTCAGCATTCTCGTCACTGCCATGTCCTCGTACTCCCTTCGTCGGTGACCCAGCTCTTCACCTCACTTGGTGTTCAGTTGGCAGACCTCCAAAAGCCGCTTCATTACCTCTTTCGTCCCACAACTACGGCCGCTCTCTTTCATTTTGGGCACCTTCAGACTATGTCAGACCAAGCTGCTGCACGCTGGACAGGCAGCTGCTTCTCTGTGCTGAGCCCAACAGGCCATATCAACACACGACTCGATAACCTGTTTATCTCAACACCTGGTGCTTGTCGCGATAGATATGACGGTCAGCGACCCACAACCCTGCAAGCCTTGCCGTTGCCAATTAAGCAAGGTCCGCACACTGCTAGCAGCACTTCAGGTCCTCCAGTTTCACTTTATCACAACACACCCAACACGCCCCAGCAAAAGCCCTTCATGACGCATGATAGCTTGCCAGAGACATCCCGGCAGCTTCCCCCCTTAAGCTCGGCCAAGTCTTCGCGTCGGCTCGCAGATTCCGTTTCGTATGTGAACAAAGCCCGGTCGGCAACGGTGAGCAGAGATGGATGCAAGGCTGAAGTCTGTGTGGACATTTCCGTACTAATCGTCACTGCTCATGCAACATCACAGGCTCGTCGCCCGGTAGACCTACGTACAAGCTATTCCCTGCAACGAGCAATTGGCGCCGGCGCCGGTACTAAAACCTACCAATCAACAGACCCACACATCTACGCCCTGCATCAGTCACCGTCGCATACTGGTGCGACTGACTCTTGGCATTCTTGCTCCATTACGACAGGTTCGAGAGAGCTGCTTCAAAGCCCGCACACGCTGCAATTCAACATGGGGCCAGTCTCGAACGGCCGGAAACGCTCTTCGACGTTGGCGCAGTTGGAAAGCGGTCCCAACGCTGCTTCAGAAGCCGAGACGCGCGGTAACGCGCTCGAGCGGCAACATCATTCATCGCTACCCAGATTGTCTATCGTCTCACACCGACAATACTCTACAGACACGCCTGGAAGCTCAAGTATTGAGTCAATTGGCGGCTTTCAACGTCTCGAAGCAGCCATCTTACCGTTCCGTTACGGTGGCATTAGTAGCTATGACTACTCGCTGCCCTCGAGCGCTGCCTCATCTTCGAGGCGCTCCAGCCAAAGTCCAGCACGCTCGGCCATCAGTAAGCAGTCAGTCGATCTCGACAGCTTATCCGTCAGCGATGAAGACGAGGAGATGCCCGCATTTCCATTCGACACTGAGGCTGATGCAGAGACGGATACTGACGCTGATGGTATCTCTGTGTACGGCGAGGGCGCTGAGGTTGGGGCTTTCGTGAGCATGAACAATGTCGACAGCGATGCAAATTCAGGATCTGTCCAGAAACGCGTACGGCTGTCGTCACCGTTTGAAATCCCAACGTCTTATTGCAGCGACCGGAGTATAGCAAGATCAGCCTCTACCGACCTGGGCGAATTCCCGGTGCAGGAGGGGTCGACGCTCGCGACAGTCCAACCACTCTCTCCGCCTTTCCATACGCCTCTCTTTGTCACCGATGCCGTTGTGGACAATGCGAGGCATCACTTCCCTTCTAACGTACATTCAAGCAAATCAGTTAGGCCTATCATTTCGCCAAGCACCTATGCACGCAAACTCAAAATCTTTCTGTCCACTGCCAAGGGCGCTTTTGAAGGCTTTCAAATGGACGGTCGGACCATCAAGCCTCGCCCAGGCTCAATGGTGACATCTTTCCTTTCGGCATCTACGCAAAGGAATGGCAATCTCAAGGCCACTGTCTGCGATTTCGTTCATGACTACTCGCCTGCACCAGCGGAGCCGGTAGCTGAATTACGCGCTTCTAGCAACGAGATCTGGGGCAAGGACTACAGCGCGTGCAAACATCTCTTCCCTATCGTACATCGCTTCGCCCTTCCTGAAGTACTCTTCGACAAGAAGGGCAAGAACCATCTTTCTGCGTTGCAAAACGACGCCGACGATGACTACATTGCCTGTTTCAACTACGATGGCGAGCTCTGGTTGACAGGGTACGTCCGGCCGCCACTGCTTGTCAGCAATAGTTTCTACTGACTTACCGCATCCTTGATCGCGTCTCAAGACTTCACATCTGCCGCATGCTTCGATTTCGCTTCGAGGCTTTTGGAAGGCGCATTATTAATATCAATAAGTTCCATGAAGGGGTGAGTACAGCTCCACCAGATAACTGGCATCTTGGCTAACACAGCGATGCTCTGTGTCTTTCAGATTTATTCAGACTTGGTTGGTTTGATACTTGGGCTACTAATTTTTGCAGCTGGTGCTCCATGTTGACATACTTGTTCACCTACAGCGTAATCTCCGAAGCGGCGATGGATCCGTGTGCGAGCAGCCCCGCAGCCCTTTCCTACAAGTGCTTCATGCGTACAATGCGGTCAACACTCGGAAGCAGCAAAAGGTATTCAAGTGGGACCACACCCCTCACGATCGCCTCTTTCTTGCTCAGCTCGACCGAGACCTCGAGAGACAGACCAAAGGACTCGAGACGGTCAGTGTGCCGGTTGCCGAACCAGCGCTGAGCTTCACATGGGATGCGAGCAAGAGTCTGCTTGAGCAGCTTGGATACGAAAAGACCCGAGCTGCCGTCACGAATGTCAAAGATCACGTGGTTCAGAAAGCAAAGTCTTCTTCACGCCGAGTAGCTGCCAACAAATCAATGACTCACGCCGGACTTCATGGTCTCGTTCTAGGAGTCTACAACACGCCAGCATTTGCGCTGAGCGCAATCGGCGCGAACAAGTAATTCAGCTTCGTCGCGTCCCGAATCACCGTTGTTGCTATTTGCACCATCCCATATCGTATTACAATCGATGTAAGCATAGGAGCCGCCCTTTCTTTCGATAAGAAACAGACCGCAGCGACATGGAAGAACGTGACATTGTATTTCATAACGTGAACTGGCATGCTATGTGCGAAGCCATAGCATGGATTGGTCCCGCAAAACTGTGGCAACCTCTTCTGGTGCTGCTCCTTGCGCGTAGATAGAAGCCATCTCCTCTGCGCGCTTGCGTGGCAGAGACATGAATATGCGCAAAAGGCTCCCGTCAAGAATGCCTTTCGCCAAAGGCCGAGGTACGGTCTCATTCACAACCGCGCTACAGAGGGGTAAGTTTTGTCAGAGATCATGTCAAATAAAATGTGGCGCGATGGCTCACCGAAGACTCCTCGGATTCAGGCCCGCAAAGTGGCGGACATTCCTAGTCATGTAGCCTTGCAGAAGCTGCAACTTCTTGAATGTCTCCTCATCGACACTTGTGATCCCTTCAATGCTTCCGTTGGAGGCTCCCTGAAGAATCTCGTTTCCTGTCGAAATTCCGATGCCATTGCTCTTGCCCGGTAGGACACGACTGCAGATGGTTTCGGACGCTGTCTGATATTCAGTGCGGAGCAACAGCTTCTGGCCACTTTGCGTGCTCAAGATGGTGGGCGCGTAGTCCAGCAAACGAACCCTTCCTTGTATGTCCGTAGTAACAAATGCAATCCCTTCTTCGTGAAGCAGGAAGTTCGCTGTCAAGACGGGTGCGTTGTTGATGTCTCTCCCTAATTGCACTAGGCGGTATGGCTCTTCTTGGAAAGCAACAAAGGTTATACTGCGCTGAATGTCGCTGAGCAAGAGGTAATTTTTGATCCTGTGAATGCTTGTAACGTAGAAAGCGAGGTCCAGAAAGGCAACGGAGATAAGCCACTCGTCGTTCTCCAGGGCCTTAACTTGTAGCTGGATGTAGCAAGCGAACATAACTAAAGATTGTCAACACAGCTCACAAACGATATTGACGCCTAATTCACCTTTTGCCCAATGCTGTGCACGAGAAAGCCATTCATGTCCGTCAGCGCCGTCACCGGCCCGCGGAGCTCCTCCTTGTCAATCAGCTTGAGCTTATGAGGCACTTTGGTCGGTTCGGCAATCGTGGGCACTGTTTCTACGATGTCGAAAAGATAAATCGCGCCCTTTGTAGGACGATCCTCGCCATGCGAGATCGCTGTGCCCACAGCAATGTACTCCTTGCTACGTCGCGCGTTGCTGACGCTAGCAAGGGACACTAGCTCCAGAGCGCAGACGATTTCGTTTTGCTGAAGAGGGAATCTGCGAAAAGAGACTACTCCGTCAGTGAAAGGAGTATGGGACGACAGGGCAATTGCGCCACGTACCCAAATGTAGGTTGGCATTCGCCCGCCGGAAAAAGCTCGAGTGCTCCACGGTAGCAGTTCGATGGTGTGGGGTCAGTGGAAGGATCTGCTACGACTGAACTGTCTTCCGGATTGAATAGCAAGAAAGGCGTCTCTACGACCGATGCTGCTATTAGAGCCTGGGTGGAGGGATGGGCGGCCACCTTAGTGTATGTACGACCAATGATAGTGCGTGAGTACGGAATGGGTAAGTCATAACAATGGTCAGGGATCTCCGCCAGAATTAGCTAAAAAAAGCGGGACCATCAATCAGTTGCAATCTAGCCGCTGCCATGAAACTCAAAAACGCACCTGCCCAGTCTCGACGAAAGCGTAGACACTTGTTTGACCAATGGAAGTCACGTCTTGAAGCATGTCACCGTCACACTCGTGAAATTGGACTGTGCCAAAATTTGTGCGAACGAGAAGACCGGGAGAGCCGCCAGTCAAGAATGCACCAAAGCCTTGCAAAGGCCGGATCCGGGCCCCGTCAAACTGGAATGAGTCACCCTTAGGCGCGTTAAACATGGCAATGCCGTGCGAGGACAACTGCTTGCCGAAAACCTTGACGAAGGTACCGGTCGCCATGTGACTTGGCGCGTCGCGATCTTGAAATGGATTGAATTCATAGACGTGCATCTGCTGGTTGTCGAGGAGAACAACGAGGTGCGGCGTTTGAGCCATCGTGATCAGCCGAACGTCGCTGACACCTCCTTCAACAGACTTAGACGTTGTTGATTGCTTAGCGATATTCCCAAAGCATTCAAGGCGCCATGGCACGAATGGCAACGAGGCTGTAACCCAGGTGCGAGTAGTGTCTGCAAGGCAGATGAGGTGAAACTCGCCGTCACTGGTGAGGAGCGTCATCCAAATGTTTGACGCTTCAACCGAATCAATCGGAGTTGTTTTTGTACTGACTCGCGCCTTGTCGTCTTCACTCTCGCTACCATGGTCGATCTTGTCGTCGTTCATTGTGGACAGCATTTGCCTCGCATTGGCGTGTGCACCTGCCGCAGGAAGGCCCATGCTCAGGGTCCGCGTTGCATCCTGGAATAAATGCACGCTAGAGTACCCTCCTGATGTAGCATCGCATGCGATCCCTTCCGGCAGGCTGACCTCCCTAATGACAGGGTCTTTGTCACTCTGTACCTGTAGTGACACAGACAAAAGCTTGATATTTCCTTCCCAGGTTGTCAGGGCGAGATATGGATACACAAAGCTCGCGGCTCTGATGGACTCGCCCTGACTTGTGCTAAGATCGAGATGCGCTCGCAAGCGTGCGCCTTCGAAAGATCGAACTTCAATGCGCAGCGGTGTGACGCGCAAGAAGAGTTGCTCTATCCACCCATTTCCATGGGAAAGCGGCGCCGCGAAGATAGAGATACCGTTCAGCTCTGCCGTCCGAGCGACGATTCCATCGCGGTTGACGCTCGTTAGAAGAGATATCTGCTCAGCCTCACAACTGGCTAATAACAGCATACTTCCCCCTTTGCTACTGGATGGCGACGCTGCCGGACGTGGCATATCGCTCTCGGGGTTGAGACTCCATACCGCACTGACAATAGTACCATCTGTCTCGACGCGTCTTCGTTTGCGCGGCTTAATCCTCGGCTCGAAGCGGGTCATCCCACCGCTTTCCCGAGCACCTGTTAACGCGACAGTTTGGGCGAGAGGCACACTGTCCTCAGCATCTGCCGTCGGTGTGAGGTCTGCGATGGGGCCCAGAGCAGGAATGCATGTCGACGGAGTGAGTTGCATACGCGTGCGTACTTTAGGTGCGACTGTCCCAGCAACGTATGATCCAGTTGTTGTGGATTGTGCGTTGGTGGGAGAGGGGCCGTAAAGGTCGATGTCCATCTCGTCACCTTCCTCTTGCTGTAGCTCCGGGTTCTGTTGCTGTTCATGGACTCCATTGGCCGATCCATTCATCGAGGCGTTGCCATTAACACTAGTAGCTTCGAAGACAGCTTCTATGCGCAAGACTTCCGTATCGCCCACCATGCTTGCAACCCACAGCCACCCTTTCCTCTCTGCATCAAACAAAGACGAGGCAGGTGGATTACCCGGGTCGGGTGAGAGAAAAGCGAGCGCGCTGGATTGTACACTCTTGCCCAAAGTGCTCAGGCGCATTCCGGCTAAGCTCCTGCCCTCGATTTCGAATTCGAGATTAAACATGCGTCCATCTCTAAGCGCAAGAATTGCCTTTTCACTTTGCGCCGAAAATCCCGCGCCACAGAATGTAGCAGGAAAGAAAGCCAATTGACTACCCTGGAGGTCAATGTCTTCTCCACGTTCCGCGGGGCCCCACACCTTGACGCCTTGCAGCTCGCTCAGCCTGTTCCACCACCGACTGACAGCCAGACCTGTGACCTGGCCGCTCTGATCGACGTGCACGATGGCGGTTGTTGTCACAATGACCGTACCGCCGATACTCTCTGGACAAGGCACAAGATAGAGGGAGTCGTAAGGCAAAGAGTCGCGCGCCGATATGAGGGTGAGTGGTGAGGATGTAGAAGAGGTGGCACCGGAAGCAAGTGATGAGAGGCCAGAGGAGAGATCCAACGTGAGAAGGAAGAGGGAATAGGTGTCCTTCGATTCATTGAGGAGTCTGTAGAAAGTAAGCGCGCGTCAATGATAGTCCTCACTGCCTTGAGCACACTGCAAACACTCGCATACTCACCCGGTACACGTCGGCCTCGGCTCGAAGAGCACTGCCAGCGTTGGCTTTTGAAACCCAGGTAGGAACGCAAAATCGCGGACATTTCGGATGCCACTTCCCACGCCAGCAGCCCCGACCGCACCGCTTTTGCCGCCGAGCTGAGACAGACGTACAACAAAGGATGGGTTGTACGGCAGCTCTCTCTCCTTCTCCCAATTCACTCCTGAGTCGGACCGCGACGAAGGCCCTGATTTGGTGCCATACAGCTCGTCTTCACCCCATAGCTCGCCCAAAAATCCAAGCTCGTCCTCGCCCGTACCTGCAAAAGGAAGAATGGCCAGTGCGTCGCCTGGCATGCTCAGCCCCGCGCAGCGGTTGAGAGGATCGGTGCGGAGCACAGGCTGAAAGTTAAGAGGGAGACCGCTCGGGTAGAGGGAGAGCTCGGGAAGACGTTCGTAGGTGTGAATGCTGAGGACTGTGAGGTCCTGTAGCGAGAGAGAAAATTCAAGGAGCGCTAGCTGCAGGACACGGAAGAGAAAGGCATTTCTTCTGAACGTCAGAAATCATCATAGCCCTTAGGAATTCCAAGAAGTAGCACGTACCTTTGCATCCTTAAACGCGATCAAGATTCGGTCCGCACCATCTGCTTCGCTGGCAGCGGTGCGAACGGCGTCGAGACCAGTGACGACGCCAAAGAGCGAGTGCCTACGCAATAAGTACGGCTGTATATCTCCTAAATGCTCGGAATCTTTCTGTTGCAGGCTAGAATCAGGCCGAAGTCTGATCTCGTAGATGGAAAGCGAATCATCGCGTGCCGTTACACAGTGACCGAGCAGATGTCCCCGATGAACGCGCCATCGTGCTAGCGCGTCCTTGTTGCTGGCCGCGCCATTGCTCGAGCCACTCGGAATATCGAGTTTTGGTATGAGCTGGCATGCGACGGCAAATGCTGCGCCAGAAGGCGGTAGGAGCTGGTCGTGCAGCGCATAGATCGGCATCTTCCACGAGACCTTTGCGAGATGTCGGCTGGCGAAAAGGGCAACTGCCACACAATAAGAGCGAGGCCGGCTGCTCTAGGTATATGTAAGAGCTATTGAGCTCCTTGCATTACGTATCTCTGTTTCAGTAGGGTCGCCCACGGGGACGAAAGCATGTCCAATCAGCAACGATGAAGACCATCAACATGTGTGTGAAGGCAAGGATGAAAGGGAGTGGGTTGGTTTAATTCTGGAATTTGGAAAGCGTCAATCCGCTAGAATGGTGTTCACCGAGATTCTATGCATTCTTGAACCTTTCATAGGACCAACACCTGTCCCCCGGGCGCGGGGGACCCCTTCTAGTCCATTCGACGTCTGATCTCTGGTCACTGATCACACTACCGCATAGCGATGCTGCAAAAGAGAGAACTACATATATACACAGAAGAGAGTACAAGACTTTGCGCGCATTACCTCCTCGTAATCTCCTGCTTCGGGACTTTCCTGGTTGAAGAGCGGCCGACCGTCGTTCGTGGCTTGTCCGCGATACCCTCACCCCCTTTCGGTTTATTTCAGGCGCTCACCAGGCGCAAATAATACATCAAGATGCCAGGATGGCGTGAGAGTACGATGAAGAAGATCGATACTGTTGGATCGGGGGTGGTGAGTTGCAAATTGCCAGCGCGGTGAACTCTCTCTGTCACGCCTCTGACCAACCTCGCATGCACTTGGATTGCTCTGCAATCTTCCAACAACGACCTGCGACTGTAGAACAAGCACATACGGGCCCAGCAAGAGTCCGTCTCGGGGCTCAGCTTCAAAGATCGATGGCGTGTTGCAAAGGGGGAGAATGTGCGATGGGAGACGACACGCAAGGATGGCGGTTTGGGTGCAGCTGAGGATGACGATGAGAGTGCTAGCGTAGCATCAGCATCTACATGGGCATCAACAGGACACGCTTTACCTCCTTCCCTGCCCAACCGGGCTCAAGTTCTGCCTGGTGCTTCCTCTCGGCCCCCACCACCGCCAGTCCGTACCGTAGGCGCAAAAGGAGGCTCGCGCCCGCCACCCGTACCTACATCCTCCAAACCAGGAGCAGTGCCTGCACCACCGCCTCGGACTGGGAACGCACCACCTATTTTGCCGCCGCGCATGGGCAATGAACAGGGAATTGACAACCCGCCGCCGCCATATGTTGGCGCTAAGACAGGTGCCACCAGGGTACCCACTGCTGGTGCTCGTGTTCCGTCTCTCCCGGCTCGCGAAGCAGCAACTTCAACAGGTCCAAATCACATCGAGTTCAGCAAGTTCGATGCTGCCGAAAAAGCTGCTTTCTTTAACCTGCTGGATCGGTACTTTGCGGCCAGAGGCGGGGACGTGACCCCAGCTTCCGTGTAGTGACGGATCACGGGAGAAAAGTGTTGTACTTTGTCGTCAGTCATTGAGAGTGCAATGCACATGGTCGTTGAATTGAGTGGCCTCCAAAAAAGGACGGGACAAGGGTATCTTCATTATGACGGTAGCCGGACAAGGCATGATATATACACGAAATGCTAGTCTGGAATGAAAAGATGCATCGACTGGTCGCAACCAAAGCATTAGCGAACGCGACGCTCTAGCTCACGAGCAACACCCCTCGAAGCTCTCCGTGACTCTGTTCTTGAGCCTGATGACCCCACCGCTCCTGCCCCTTGTGCTTCCAGCATCGCTGCCGGCGCCGCTAGCGCTGCCAAATCCAAAGCTCAATCGGCTGCCGCTGCCGAGCCGGCGCAGGGTACGGTCGCCAAATGAGATGCCGCTGCCGGGCTTTTCAGGATCTAGCCGCCCTGATTCGATGGCGAGTAGAATGGAGCGTGCGGCAAGCAGAAAAGGCGTCTCGACGTTCTCGCCGGTCAGCGAGGAGGTTTCGAGGAAGAGTACGCCTGAGCGATGTAGTTCGAAGGCCTGTCAGCAGTCGCGCGCTTCTCCGCGACTAAATTCAGCATTCTCACCATTATCGCTCGCCCATTGCGTAGCCTCTAGCTGGCTCACTTCCCGCTCGTCATCCGCTCGATCGAGCTTGTTGCCCACTACGACCACTGCGAGATCTGGAGATGCCACAGCCCTTGCGTCCGCCAGCCATCGTGAGAGCGGCTCATACGTTGTCCGTCTACGAATTTAAGAGCGGCGAGCAAAGGCGCCACAATAAACAATCCATCGTCAGCCTCGCCAGGTCATGCAATATCCAGAGCCAACTATGCGCACTTTGTAATGTCGTAAACGAGAATGCACACCGCCGCACCGCGGTAATAGCTTCTAGTGACAGATCGAAAGCGCTCCTGACCAGCTGTATCCCACAGCTGCAGCTTGACGTTCTTGTTGCCAATCTTGACGATGCGAGACGAGAACTCGACGCCAATCGTATGTGCCGAATTTGTTCGAACTGCCATCGAGGAAAGATTGTACAGGCGCAAGAAACGAGGGAGATGTCAGCATTATGTGAAGAAGAGCATCTCTTTTTGTTCGAGCGACGGGAAAACGTACATTGATTGTTGACGAAATGATGCAGCAAGCACGATTTCCCCGTCCCCGACTCGCCAATGAGAATACACTTAAGTAAGAAATCGTAAGCTGACGCCAGCTCGAAGCCAGCGCTTTCGTCTTCTGCCATCCCGGCGGAGCGACTACTGTGGCGCTACACGCAAGATATACTCTGGCTTGTCAAGAGCCACAAGGATGGACTTGCCCGTTGGGTCAGACGAGGCTGTTTCTTCACTGGTAGAGTGAAGGCGAACGTTGATCGAGGGGGACTGCTTTCCCTGTTTGGATTCAGAGCCGCCAGGAGAAGCGAAGGCGCAGCCGCATGACTGCTCATCTGACGGATTTTCTTGATCAATATCCAGAGGTCTGCAGCAGGTGCTGCATGCGTTCGACATAGAAGAGAGATGCGAAACGAAACTCCTTGGTTGATAAATTGGGGCTCTTGAACTTGATGCCCTGGCCAAAACAGCAACGAAAGGGCAGGCTTGGGTCGAGGCAGTGGGCGGAACGAACAATGGCAGTATTATGGATGAACCAATTTGGACCTTCTATACTTTCTAGCATTCCTGCATGCTACCAAGGCTGTCATCATATCGTAAGCTCATCCATCCCGAACTTGTCTGAAGGAAACACGTTGTGCACAAATCCTCGAGTGCATCTCTGGCGAGAACGAGCCCACAAAAGCTGCCGATTCCAGTGGCCCATCCGCATCGCGTCCACCAGCCCGACGACATCCGTACACCCTGCCCATCATGTCGTCAAAACAGAAGGTGATGGTCCAGCCCATCAATGTCATCTTCAGGTACTTGCAGCAGCAGAGCCGCGTCAGTATGTGGCTATATGACAATCTGGACACGAGAATAGAGGGTAAAATCTCGGTGAGTATGTCGAACCAGTGACTTTGACGGACGAGGTGTTGCGCCAGCTTGATCCACGTGCCGACTCAGTGCTCGGAGCTTGGGGCTTGGAAGGCTCGAACCCGAGGCATTTGATCAGGTTCTTTCACATCTGGACCCTAGAACTATCGTAGCGATAATTGATTTCAGTACCACAAACGTGTGGTTACTGCGACCGGAGGCCCAAGTGGATCGAACGGGAAGCAGGCTACTGGATGCATGTAAATGGAGCTATAAACTGATCAACCCTTTCTGGATGCTTGCAGGGCTTTGACGAATTCATGAACGTCGTAATGAGCGAAGCATCAGAAGTGAACATTAAAAAAGGCGAGCGAACAGAGCTAGGTAAGGAAGACGCATCGTGAAGATACAGGCCTGTATTACGTCTTGGCTGACAATCTTCTTCTTCCTATCTTACTTCTGCGCAGGGCGAATTCTTCTCAAAGGCGACAATATTACACTCATCCAGCCACTATAGCGCTCTCTGCGCTCCTTTCTGTACCAATTCTCGCCACTGTAACACTACCGACTGCAGTTCAATGCAACAGGTTTCGTTCTCGGGTCTGCGGCCGAGAACGGTACTTGCTCACTAATGCTCGTAACACGTGGATCCACGTTTCTTGCAACAATTCTGCGCTACATGTATGTTTGCTGACTGCAGATGAAGCATTTCTCGACCAGCCGCCACTGGCCGCAAACCACCGCTCGAGCGCCCGGATTTCAAAGCTTCGGCTTTGGCTTCTCTTTGAACCCTCCTTCTTTTGCCAACCTGCCGCGCACTTCTTTGCGCAGCACAACCTTCTCGACCTTTCCCGACGGATTGTGCGGCAGTTCCCCATCGCGGATCCAAAAGTACTCTGGACGTGCGAACTAGAAGAGCAGCAGCCTGTCAACTGACCGGTTGTGGCCATCGCACCATCCTCTCGCAAATACTCGCCTTAGGCAAATTCTTGGCAGCGACATGCTCGAGCTCCTCTTGGCTGACCTTTGCCGCATCTGAGCGCGTGTGCACAACGATCGCCACGCGCTCCCCGAGCCTCTCGTCCGCAAACGCAACCGCAGCGCACTCCTGCACCGCCGGATGCTTGTACACTGCGTCCTCAACCATGGAGCAGCTGATGTTCTCGCCTCCCCTGATGATCATGTCCTTGACGCGATCGACAATGTAGAGGTAACCTTCCAAGTCTTTTCGTCCTAGGTCGCCGCTGCGGAACCAGCCGTCTGGAAGGAAGGCCTCGGCGGTCGCCTGCGGTCGGTTGTAGTAGCTTTTCGCGACGCCCGGCCCGCGGATCCAGACCTCGCCTGCCACGCCAGACGGACACTGCGTAAGAGTGTTTGGGTCGACGATGATCACTTCTACGCCGGGCGGAGGCAGACCCGTCGAAGCCGGCCGGTGAGAGTAGTCGTCGCCTGCAATTGCTGCCGCTACCTGCAATGATTCAAAGTGGACACGAGCGAAGTTTATCAATCAAAGAGACGTTTTGTCTTTCGTGTCGCGCTGCCCGCTCACCCCATTGGTCTCGGTGAGCCCATATCCTTGCCCCAACAAGGAGCCTGGCCTAGCCTTCTGAACCTCTTGCGGGAGACTCGTGCTGGACGAGCTGCCGCCGTGGGAAATTGCGCTGATGGTCGCTAGCTGCTTGGGCATCCCCTTGGTCATGATCTCGCGCATCATGAACCCGATACCGAGCAATCCCTGCACCTTGAACTTTTCAATCTTCTCGAGTGCAACTTGCAGATTCCAGCCGTTGAGCAAGTGCAGGAAGGCACCGTTCTTCGAGTTAGCTATGATACCCGACGACAAGGCGGTTGTGTGGAAGAGCGGCACGAGGATGAGGATCGTCAGGGCGTTCTCCTTCTTCAGCGGGTCTGGCGGCGTGTACCCGCGCCGGAGGTAGGCGCGCGCAGAGGCGGCTTTGACGAGCGCAAGTGGAGACAAGTGTTGCGATTGTGTCGACAACACTCCTTTTGGTTTGGAAGTCGTGCCGGATGTGAAGAGGATCGAAGCGTTGTCGCTCACCGAGATTGGCTCTTCTGGCAGCTGCGCATGCGCCTTTGCGAATGCCGGTTGCGAGTATGTTGCGTTCAGCTCGTCCCAGCAGTAGACACCAGCTTGCTTGCCACTCGACCACGCTCGCGACTGCGCGGGGATGACGCTATCCCCCCGCCTAGGGACGACGACGAGTCCCGAGTACGAGCTGCCGCTGGCCTTGGAGCTCTCGTTGAGCTTCGGCAGGAACGGCTGCAGCTTCCCGAGGCGCTCTACATCCCCAATGACGACTCTGCAGTCTACATCGAGAATGCAGAATGTGAGCAGGTCGCCTTCGCCGAACGCATTGATCGGCACGACAACGGCGCCGAGCTCGTGGATGGCCCAGAAGGACGTGATGAATTCCGGCATATTACGCGCGATGATGCCTACTCGGTCGCCTTTTCGGACATTGAAGTGTAAGCGCAGCCAGCGCGCGACGAGCGTTGCCTGCTCAGCAATCTGAGCGTAGGTGTACACTTCGTCGTTGAACCCGATGTATGGACGGTCTGCAAAAGCCTGCAGGGCGTGGCAGACGAGCAGGTATGCGCATTTCAGGCTCATATGTCTTTCTAAATGTATCCAAAGGCCGACACTGACCTTGTGAACTTCTCTCCAATATTCCCTACCGCTCGTTGGCAAATTCTTGTACAGAGTCTGCAGGCGACCGTCGACAAGTCTCGTCTCCAGTTCGAATGGAGAGCCCATCCCAGGTGCCGTCATCATAGCGTCGACGCGTGGCAAGGGGAGCAGCTGCGCCTGTGCCTCTGCCGACAAGGGCGAGAACGACGCTTGCCCATCTGGGTTCTGGGGTGGGATCGCACTGCTGCTGGCAGCGGATGGAAAGTACATGGTGCTCGTCGTCTTGCACGGTACGTCGCTTGGCATTGAGCAGCTACCCGACAGCTCGATGGGATAACGAGGCCCAGGAAAGAAAAGAGGAGGGCAGGTTGAGATACCAGTCTTCCATGTGCCAAGGTATAATAATAATAAGGCGGTTATACAAAAATATAGATAGATATATACGAATGATGACCCCCGAGCATATATAGTGTAGATGGACCAGACATGCGTGGGCAAGAGAGACGGGCTGAGCATAATGCCGGAGCCGGCTCACATGCACTGCAACGCGGTCCGCACTCAGTAAGCTCCCATTGGGTCTGGACGTTCCCGGACGTCCGGCCCGCTGCGACTGTTGGCCATACGTGGCGGAACTGTTTACGTAAGAACCTGCTTATCCTCCTCGTTCAACGGCAATATCAGACGTACGTATGTACGCAGACCCACCCCCATGTTATATGCATGCTCATTCAATGGTTCGCTCTCGTTCTTTCTCTACCCGAATCGTTAATGCAGGCGAGCAAGGCATAGGCATCCGGACTGCGGCACACCACCAAGCCGCAATGTCAGGACGCGCCTCGATAGCCGCATCTCCCGCCGCCCTTTGAGCTTGCGGATGCAGTGCAAGCACCGTCGACCAAGAACTGACCTGGTCCCAGCTTCGCGTACCGTCTGACGCCCATGTGCTCTTGACACCTTCATGTATGTAACAAAAGCATGGCATCCCTCGCGCGAAGAAAAGTGACTCTGGTCTCCGGTGCGAATGCAGATCAGTCCGTTCAGTCCGTTCTCTCACTGTTGTTCAATTCGGTATCCTAGCAACCCGCTGACAAATTTGGCTGTCCTCCTGACCATTCTCTCACTGGCACAGGCTATTCAATCGCCCGTGCTATAGTATAGCATTATCCCACTTCTCTGTTTGCAACATCTAGCAGTGACACCGAAGCACGACCCGATCTCCTACTTCTGTTGACAGCCCGAAACGTTCCACGTGAGCAAGCGGTGCTCGAATCGTTGCTCAACGAACTCGCACCCGAAATACTCCGGTCCGCAAAAGTTGGGGGAAGCTTCAATCGACGGAAGCTCGCTCAGAAGTGCGCTTCGAACAGCTTGACGTCTCAGATGCCGGAAGCCGCCAGTGTATCGTCCAAGTGATTCCAAATCTGGGCGGCCTTAATCGGCTTGTCAATAGCGCGGGTAAGCCAAAAGAAAAATACCGACAGAATGCCCCCAAAAGAAAATTGCCAGCGATGCTGAATGCCATCTAGGATCATGCCGTCAGGCAAATTATCACTTTCGATTGTGAATGAACCCCTGTGGATAAACTACTTTTCCGCTCGCTCGCTCCTGTAACTTCTGGCGTGAGTGCCTCTTGGCCAGAAGCTTCTTCTTCGGCTGGCCAAGGATTATTACGGCCAGGAGCGAAAACCATCAACATCAGCTCTTCGCTCAGAAGCCAGCTTGCGCTCCTTCTCACCCGCTCGGCAAGCGCGCTTCCCCATAACGGCAACAGGCGCGAGCGCTGCGCAGCAGGCGAGCGCGCAAGCGGTCGACGCGTTCATGTCCGACGCCCTCAGGTGCGTGCGATCTGGGCACCGGCACTAGCATCGCTGGATCGCCTCTCCTTCTTCCTCCAGCTGCCCGCCTGGAAGTGCGTCACTAGCATACAATGTCTCGAAAGCCGACCGGACGGCTCTGACGGCGGCTTTGCATGGCTCAAACGTCACTGCAACGCCTGCTGCCCTGGATGAGTCCGTACGGAAGTGACGCATAGAGGTGGGATCAACAGTCCTGATCGGGGTGCTGTCACGCCGGCCATGCTTGCGCTAGATGATTTATAGGACAAATGAAAGTTTGGATCGATGCGAAAGGCGTGGATTAGTGACGGTGATTGTTCAGCCTCCAATATATTGAGGACGCAGCAACACCTTTCGTTCCAGTGTCAGAGATTCCCGTACGATAGTCGCAATTCACCCATGCCCTTCCCAGAAAAACGAGGTACACTCCTTAGGCTTGTCAGTAAGCCTTCCGAAGCACTACGAAATACCCTGCACGAACTGGACAATCGCCCCACCATCGTCGTCATCAAAATGGCGCCATGTGACTCAGACCTGCGTCCTGCGCCATCGTATGGCAAGATCGAACACCAAGCCATTCCTGAAGTCCCCTGTAAAGCAATCAAAGCACCTCAGAATTGCACGTCGTGTTGGTGGGGCCGCTCAACTGGCGTGTGGTCGATGTCGCGCGTGATGAGGTGATCGCCGCGACCACTGATGCTCGTGTGTGGGCCCCCACGAGCTCGACGCAACAGTGCAGAAATACTTTTAGTGATTCCCCCGTCGGCCATCGGTGAACTTTTAGTTCTCGGCACGCAACCCTTGTTGCAATTTGATCGTCACCCGTGTCGAGTAGATATATTCACGAGGGGAGTCCCGACTGTTGCGCTCTCGTTCACCACTTTCGACTGATAGCCAAAACTTGGCAACATCAACTTGGTGAAACCGGTCCCTCGGTCACGCGACCATCCCACTCGCGCTTCATCGGACACAACCTCATTCGTACCACAATCACTACCGCCTTTTCGACGTTGTACACATCCATGGGGGCTGCCAGGACCCCCTGATATCTGAAGCTCGACTGACACGATGCGCCTTTTTACCGCTCTGATCGCACTGACAGTGCTTGGTGCGGGGCGGAGACAGTTCAACAGCGACCATGGCCGCAGCCCCGGCGTGCTGGGACCGCCACTTGCAAGTGCAGCTCCCGCTCCTGCAAGTGTGCAAACCATCTTTCAGGCGCCGAAAGACAATGCGGAGCGAAATGATCAGTCGCGTTTAGCAGCGAAAGGCAAAGGCAAGAGCAACGAACAGTTTCATGAGGCTTATCACACGTACAATGAGTGCGTCTAAGGAGCGGATTGCTCGCGGTGCCATTGTTGATTGTTGACGAGATCCAATTCGATCGACACATTGAATATGAAGGATTGAAGACTACATCACGCAGCTTGTCTCCATCTATCCGCAATTTGCAAGTGTCATCTCGCTCGGCACGACGTGGGAGAACCGTTCGATCTTGGCTCTTCAAATTTCGCTGCCATCAGACGACGGGGACAACGAGCCAGGAAGCTCAGAAGAGCCGCCAAGCTGGTGGCGCGAAAATTTGCAGGCTCTGCTCCACCGACTTTCTTTTTACCGCCCGGCCGATTCCGGTCTCAAGCCGGGCCTGATGGTCGTCGCGGGGACGCATGCGAGAGAATGGGTATCCACCGCTAGCTCGCTCTACTTTGCAGATAAGGTTCTCTCCTTGGCGCAGGAGTACCAAACCGGCTTGCCGCCTGCGCCAGTCCCCCCGCATATTTCAGAGTCAAGGGCGGCGATGCGCTCCAGAAAGTCCAAAGCAAAATCCCACGACCAGAAGCGGCGGCGAGGGCGAATTCACCGCCGGAAACCGCAAAAGCCGAAGCATGACCATGCATCACTCTTGACGCCAATGGAAGCGTACTACCTCTTGGACGCATTTACGCTCACGCTTGTCCCGCTCAGCAACCCCGACGGGTATGCGTATACGTGGGATAAGCACAAGGGCAACAGGCTGTGGAAGAAGAACAGGCAGCCGGCGTCATCAGGCGAAGAGACCGAGTGTATCGGGATCGACGTCAACCGGAACTGGGTGCGTCCCAAGCCCTACGCTCTCGCGTACCAGCAAACTGAAAGCTGATGGACTTCTCTCACACGCGCAGGACTATGCGTTCGTGCCAAGTTCGGACCCTGCAGCACGGTGCTCCGAGTCATTTGCCGGCTCTGAAGCTTTAGAAGCGCTCGAGACGCGCGCGCTCTCCAACTTCTTGCTCGATGAGGGCAACAATGTCAAAGCATTTGTCGACCTGCACTCGTATGGCCAGCATGTCATGTACCCCTTTGCGACATCGTGTCAAGAAGCGCTGCCGGACGAAGAGGATCTGGCAGAAGTCGCGCTGGGAAGCGCCAAGGCGCTCAGGGAGTTGCACAAGAGTAGCTTCACGACGGGACGCATTTGCGATGTAAGTGTCAAGACTGTCGCTCTTTATTTCGCAGAGCTGACATATGCAGATATACGCCGGAACTCTCGTTCAGCTTCTCTTTTCGAGCTGGAGCAATTCGATCGACTGGTCGTATGCCGTCGCGAAGATCAAGTGGTCTTTTGCCGTCGAGCTGCGCGATGTAGGGACGTACGGATTCTTGCTCCCCGCGCAGCAGATCGTTCCGACGGGGGAGGAGCTCGTCAGCATGCTTGCGTATTTGCTTCACTTTATCGAAAAGGTGCGTTCCCGAAAGCGGTCCTTCGACAGATCTTGTGCCGACTGCGAAGCTGACAGGAACTATGCCTATATGCATCTCTATTACATGCAGAAAGAAAATTAAGTCCGTCGAATCGTAGAGCGAAGTGTAGGAGGCAAGCTGGACATTGCAAGAACGTTGGTCATCTCAACTGTAGCCAGACTTGCGCATGTAAATTACGAGTTGTATCTGTACACTACGAGGATGGCGCGAAGGCTGTGCAAAACTCATCTTAGCGGCTTTGCTCGTTACATCACAATATACCAGGTTGAACACCGGCGCACTCGCTGGTGTGCGAGGCGGAATCCGCACGTCAGAAACAGATGCACTTCCGCGTGACCTCCGAGATGATAGCAACAGAGGCGGAAGTGGTGGGGGACGTCATCGAAGCTTTCGACTTTCGATGACTCTTCTTGCTCGGAAGCGGGAGCAGAAGAGGCAGTTGTGTGGGCAGAGACGACGGCTTAAAGGGGACAGCGAGATTTAGCAGCAAGGTTGTCTTTAAGTCAGCCTCAGAGGCTGAGGGATGCGGGACGGCTGCATCGAGGCCTCCCACTATACCGTTCAGATTGTGGCGGTCAGCCCCGCTGTTGTAATTGTAGCACTCGTAACACTGATAGATTCTGAACAGCAAAGGCAGGATGCCCCGAGTCGACATGCACGCGAGACGCATATTTGAGCTGCTCCGGCTAATCCAAAATAGTTCTCGTCCCTCATCCTCGGCCCCTCATCAAGACCCAACTGCTCAGTATCCGTGCCTGCTTCTTTCTGCCCGGAAGTTTGCGCACGATCCGCGTCGTCAAAGTCGGATGCTTCGAAGATATGCCGTGTGGTGTTCGCTGCCGCTGCCATCATCCCAGGATTGGCCCGCATGCAAGGGCGCCTCTCTCGTCGAAGCAAATGGCTATGTTGGAGGATAATTAGTCACGAGTCACGACGGAAAAGACGGAGCAAAAGAGTGCGTTGGAGTTGGCACGGAGAGCTGGCCTCTAGCTATTGATCACCGCAGCTGCGCAGCAACAAAGCACGGATCATTCATCGCAAACCCGCATGGGATTGGGAACGCAATTTCAGTGTGGTGAACACATTGAACGATGAGATTTTGGGAGTTGTGGCCCTTCGCCACTTCCATCTTTTGTTGTGTAGGCCTTCATTCACATTCAGGTCATCCATCGACTCCATTTATCACCATCATTGCGTCACGGGAGTATATACATCGTCCAACAGGGCTCCCGGAGAGATACAACGGACTGCTTGCGTAGATGGCAATATATATACTTGATGAACAAAATCTCGATTCCCCTCTCTTTCCCAGCTTCCTGCAAAAGCAAGGGATCAACCATCATTCGTCAAAGACTTTATCAGCCCTTTGCGAACGACGCAGATGCTTGACGTCGCCTCTTGAACAAGTTGAATGCCACTTTTGTGTTTGCTATCGAAGGTTTAACTGAGTCTACAGTACTCGCTGGACAGGTGACAAAGTACATGGCGATCTAAAAGGCTTACTGCCCACATCATCCTCTCTTTTGTGGCCAATAAGTCATCATGGGCCCGTGTTGAGATCTTTCCTCGTGTGCGAAGATTTGTCGTCAATTCGTTGATGGCGAAGTCGCCAAAATCTGTGCCACCAGAGTACTTCATCAAGGGCAGACCGGGAGCTTACTAGTCTCATTCGGTCCGCTTGGCCCCGTGGAACATCCTCGCCAATGAGGGGGTCCTTTACCATCTGACTAAACTGGCTCCCATGTCGTACTTGCAGCAAGATGATGAATACATCTCAAACTAGACCAGATCGAAATGGAGGAAAATAAAGGCTTTTTGCAAAGCGCAAAGACCAAGGTCGTCACGTTTCCGCACATAGAGCCATTGAAGAAGATACTTGTATTCTCCAAGGAAAGCGTGAAGTCGTCTTCAAAAGAAGCTCATGGTGACCGATACATCTTTAGACCCTAGCACTCATGCTGAAATCGATGTCTTTGAGAGATTTGGACCAGGACCGGCCACGTAGAGATGCGATAATATCAAGCATTGTGGGTTGTTGCGGTGTGCGTGCAATGATACAGGAAGGACTGCTGTAGACGAAGAGAGAATGTGTTCTCTTGCCACGATACGGCCCTTCAAAAAGGAACATGGAAAAGAGCCATCGGCGTAGAATGTCTACGATCGTGGCTTCTCCTTCTTCTCCTTGAAGAGGGCGAGAAGCTGAATGTGCATCGAGAAAAGACGGTAAGATGTCAGAGACTTGGGCGATGGAGGAATGCGTGACACAGAGCGAGCGCCAGTCATCAGTAGAAGTACTCACGCCGACACCAGAGACCTTGACAACCTGTAGAGGTAACAAGATAGATGTACAGATCACCAGGAAACCACAGTCAGAAAGAAAAAACCAAAGGAAATAAAAAGATGCGCCTGCTCTGTAGCCATACCTTAAATCGGACACCGGGAATGTCACCCTTGGCTTTGCCTTTTCTTCCGAACTGTCACACAGGTGAAAGGGTCCAATTAGATTTCTATTCAAGGATATATGCAAGATGACTGAAAACTCACGCCAGAGATGAGGACCTCATCGTTCTCGTCGACCTGCCATGGTGGAGCAGATGATGAAAGAAGTTAGAGATGGGAGCGATCAAATGTTCAGTCGGCAATCTGAATAATCACAAAGTTAAGACAACCGTCGTTGGGGACGAAGGCTTTCCGATGAAATGAACGAATGCAGAATGTCAGCCTCGAGCGTAGACTCGATTGATGGACGACCATTTGAGCACGTACCCGCGACCTTCTTGCCGTTCTTAATCAGCTGCACACGGACACACTTGCGAATGGCAGAGTTAGGCTGCTTGGCCTCAACACCGACCTTCTCAAGGACAATGCCCTTGGCCTGCGAGGAACCTCCAGTCGGGGACGATTTGTAGAAGTTGCCGAGCGCACGCTTCTTGTATGCCTTGTCCGCCTATGGTCATGAAAAGTACCAACAGGTCAGCTGAGGAACAATGCATAAAGGCGATGTGCTGCTGCTGTGCCTGATATCTCCGCCCAGAACGATATCGACGCATGAAGATACCCCACATCGTCAAGCAAATGCAGCTTTTAACCCTTTTTTCGCGACAGCAGCAGCACATGCAGCTGGCACGCAGAAACGACGCACCCATTTGTTGTCGCGGCGGGTGGTCTTGAGTTTCCGGGCTGTGTTCAATCCTCTTGGCTTCGACATTTTGGCGACAGTTTAGCAGCCTATACGTATGAACCGAGAGTAAAGAGTCAGTCTGTAGTCGGTATGAGAATTGAAGTCATGGCGAGCGACATGCAGGGCTACAGATGCCAGAGGTGGAATCGGGCAGATGATCGAATCGATCTTTCTCGAATCGTAGTGGCACTTGCACCCATTCCTTGGTGCAGAGGCATCGCGCCAATGCCATTAAAACAGCATCTATCCTGATGGTCATCGCAGTATCCGTTATGGACCGTAGTATCCATTTGAAGGGCATGAGTGATACCCTTCGCATTCACGGAGGCGCCCTTTGCTGACTCGACAGCATTGCTGTCTGCTGGTCGAGAAGCAAGGGCTTGCCGTTGCCCGCTCCCAGGCTCATCGGTCGGCTCGAACGACTGCACCTTTGGCCATTGAATAGCGGCATGCTTTAACCAACATCACACACATCTCCATGATCTTCATCCGAGCTTCCTGCCTTGGTCACCCTCAGGCCGCCGCCGCCGCTTGCTCACTCACTCGCCGGTGTCGTTGACCGACTTTCTGTCTTCGTGCAGATGCAAACACTCACGTTCTCGACGAGCCGATAGTATCCCTGTTGACGCTGATACCGTATCCTCGTGCAGTCGCAGTTGTCAAGCTGGAAATGTAGTGGTGTTGCTGGCGGCAGGCTGCCCATTGGGTGAGTAGTGGCAGCCAGCACTTGCAGCGCGGCCGCCTCTCTTCGTGGGTGGGTAGGCGGTAAGCTGCCAGTCAGGCAGGGCGGAAGCACCTCACTGTTGCACTGCATGGCTATTCTTTATTGCGCCCACTCCAGCCTGCCGCAGCAGCTGGTGTTCCGCCCATAGTAGTAAACCGCACAGCGCCGCAGTGCTTATCATATGGCACGCTCGCCCGCCTTCGCTCGCCCCGCGACCTGCGTACCAGATGGTGGTGTCCTCTGAACCACTTTTTGGCATTCATCTCGACACTTTCTACTTTTGCGCTTGCACAGTTGGTTAAGCACCCAGGACCCAGGTAAGCAGGAAACAAGGGCTTCAAGGTGAGTTCTGCTTGGCTCCTACTGGATGAAAGGATTCACTCGACGTTGGCTCGCTAGCCGCGCAGCGTGTTATGGACGGCTGTCAGGAATGCAATTGAGATGCGGTTGGAAAACAGTTGGACGCCAAAGAGATGGCTTTCATCATCTCGACCTGTCAAGGGTTTAATATCGGCTTTTACTTTGGTTGCTGGGTTTATGGCAGGGCAGCAGGTCCTCCGCAGGAGATTTCATGCAGAGCACTCCAGCAAGGCGACATCACAAGGTCGCGCGGATACACCGAATCGACGAGGAGGGGTACGGGCGAAAAGATGCTCAGCGAAATCAGCCAGACTTTGCCCATACGCCCAGGAGTATGAGGGGAATGGTGGTTAGATAGCTTCCGCAATTAGCAGCGCCTAGAGCCGAAACAGCAGCGGCTCAGCTGGGAGAACGAACTCATACTATTTCCGGTCCAGGTGGTCCACCAGTGCCGAGGCCGAGGGCAAGGACCTGGCTGGATTGCTGGAGCTCGCCTTCATGCATTCAGTCAGGGTCTGATTCGTATGCCAGATATCTAGCATGGCCCCCTGGGAGGGTCTTCTTCTGGAATCGTACGCTGACTTTACCGTTGGGGGCTCCTTTCAGAACTCAAAATGCCAAAGATCTACAAGCCGGGGAAAGTCGCCGTCGTGCTGCAAGGCCGTCAGGCTGGCAAGAAGGTTGTCGTGATCAAGCAGTACGATGAGGGCACCAAGGAGCGACCATACCCGCACGTTCTCGTCGCCGGTGTCGAGCGCTACCCGTTGAAGGTGAACAAGTCTATGGGCGCCAAGAAACTGGCGAAGCGCAGCAAGGTCAAGCCTTTCATCAAGGCGATCAACTGCAGCCACCTGATGCCGACCCGCTACGCACTCGAGCTCGACAGTCTCAAGGGCATTGTCAGCGTCGACACGTTCAAGGAGCCGACCAAGAGGGAGGATGCAAAGAAGGGCATCAAGAAGCTCTTCGAGGAGCGATACCAGAGCGGGAAGAACCGGTAAGTGGAAGCGGCTTTTCGCCTTTGCCTCATGTCGAGCTGGCAATTGACGCTATGTGGTCTTCCTTTTGTGCACAGTTGGTTCTTCACTCCCCTCCGCTTTTAAGCGCTTTCTTGCGCCTATGACTTACTAGCAGCACCCTCCATCGCCAACCAGCCGGCACGAAAATCGATGTGGTCATCGCACCACCCTTCGACGACTATGGCATCCGCTTCTTTCACTTGTATGATATGATGCACTCATTGCAGCAACACCCTAAAGCCTACAACAGGACCTATGTGCTGCAGTCCCTGTGCATGTGCGCGCGCTTGAGCACCGCAAGTGTGAGCATTACCGCGACTGCTGCCTGTGCTCCCGGGTTGGACCGTTGAATAACACGCCGCGGTTGTTGCGAAGGAGGGCGCGAGGACAAATGTTAGCCTGACCACGGGTATGAGCCTTTGCAATTGAGGCTCCACTCCCTGCTCTCCTCTTCCCTTTCCAATCAAATGTTTAAAAAGCGCATGATCTATGCCGCGTATGGTATACTACGATGCACGAACCTATACGCGTGACGCAGAGAGCGAGCGTCTCGCTGAGCTGTAAGTAGTCAGTCATGTTGGCCAGCAAGATCTTGGACATCGTGTTGGCCGACGAAGGAGGTAACTGGTGGTCCGGCGCTAGCGCTCCCGGAGTAACGTTTGGCAACGGGCTCATGTACACGTTATCAGCTTCCGGATGTGAACGCCGCATTCGTGTTAAGAGGCTCACAAGGAGACTCTTGCCTCACCAGCGATCATCTTCCAGCGCTTTAACCTTGGGCGACAGATATCACTGTTTGCGCGATCAGGCCGCTGTGCTCAAAGAATCAATGCAAGTGTAGGTGTGGCCCCGCGCGACATTTTCCATTTTATGAAGTGGGTCTTACTGGCGGCGACTTAGCACATCTGAGCGGCTCATCATAACTTGATCTTGGGGTGGAAATTCAGGCGCTGCATGTCGATCACTTCAAACAAAAGGCATAGCAAGAGGGTGGGGTGGGGCAGCGATATGCCCTTCTCTGCAGCTTCCTGAACGATGTCGCAAAGCACAGGCCCAGGCGGACAGTTGCATATGAGCAGTAATTAACCGTACGGCATCGGACACTGTTGGGCAGGGTTCTTCGCGCCCAGGCCAACTCCAAGACGGTGTTGCGTACCGAGCCTAGCAAGCTTGGCGGCGCGTCTTTCTCTTTGGTCGCCACTTGCGGGGAGGTATCGTTAAGAGTCGATTCAACGGTGCCTGCCACCTGGCGTCACGTCCTGTATCACGCAGAAGCCAGGGAATCTTGAAGAGCTCTCCAGATCAAGACAGACCGCGCGACGGTTACACCGTGTTTGTTTAGTGTACGCGTGCGTTTCGGGCTCGGATGAATCGAGCAGGCTGTTTCCGTCACGGGAAGAGAGAGGAAGGCCGTCGAGGCAGCATGCGACTCGTGCCTGACTGCGCGCTGCTAGAATCCACGCCGTCGTGTGTCCCGCGTCATAGCTGTCGAAACATGCACGTCTGGAGCAGCTCCAGCAAAGCCTTCGAAGCGCTGTGCATGTGCTATACGCGGGCCATGGGCAAAGGTCGAGTAGAGCCAAGACTGGGATGAAGCCACAAGGGAAGAGGCAATCTTACGAGGCAGATGGGTCCGGGGAGGCTCTGGTGCTGGTTGCATCTGAACCAAGAGGAATGTGGATCGGCACTGGGCCAGCCAGATCGACCTACCTCCAAACGACACCAGCCGCTGGCAAAACGCCATTCTTTACCACCACTGGGTCTGATGGCCGGCTCTCCAACAGAGCAGAAGAGCTCCCTTCAGAGCTCCGAGTAGTTGCCTCCGAAAGGCGGAGAGCAGAGCAGAGTTCAGCACTGTCCCCTTATACCGGCCCTCCTACTAGCGTTTCCTGGTCTCTGGGGCCGCCAATTTGATTTGCCAATGGGGTGGATGGTGAGATTCGCCTGCCACCGTGTCGCCGGCGGCCCAAGTGACAGTGTGGCTTGGCGGATCAGCAGTCGCCGTGTGCGATAACCTCAGATCAAGGGACCCCAAGCCACTGCAGCAGTCTCCCCCTCCCAAGTGCGCAAATGGATCTGTCGCTTACACTTGGGCATTGCCGTGAGGCAGTAGCACGGTGTGCACCACGCCCTCCAGAGAAATAATGACAGTGCTGCCTGGTGCCGAAAGAACACTATTGTTGCCCATGAGGGCACCAAATACACTCTCTCATACAGTCACAGCGGCCACTCCCTGCGATTCTCTCTTCTCTTGATCGCCTCCCGCCGTCCCATCCCATTGTCAAAGCCGGACAGCGCATGTTTCATGCTGATTGTCAGCTTCGAACGAGCCAAGCGCCTTTCTGCAAAGCGCAAGCTGCTGCTACCCCTTGCGTACCGACACCACCACCGTCCGGCTGTCCCCTTCCTTCCCCTCCCCTTCCCCCGGTGTCTCGCACTGCTTGCTCGCGACGGTGCGTGACACCCGCCTATCAGCCACCGCTCTCCGCCATCCTGTACAACCTCAAGACCCCACGGGACCTTTCCCGGTCCGCTCCGCTCCGCCCCAGTTGAGCCACAAGATCAGTCGTGTCAGCAAGTCGAAACAGCGCAGGCCCTTTGCATTTATATCCCCCTTACGGGTTCGTCCCCGTACTACGGAGCCGTGCAGCGCAGCGCATAATCGCCATCTTCACCGCCGACGCTGCTGAAAGTAGCATCGTCGATAGCACCGACTCATCTTTTCCTTCGAATACAGGGACCCTACACACAAGATGGGTTGTGGACCGGTAAGTCAATTCGGTTCCGCAGCGGTCCGAGCTCCCGTGGTCGACTTTTGAGCGTCGACTCGCCCCAGTGTAGTTGGAGCGAGCGCAGGGCATGTGTCAAGTAGGCGTGCGGATGTCGCAGGTGGATGCCGGCTCAAACTTGCACATGCCATGCGACAGGTAGGAGTGGGACCGGGAATGATGGCAGCGTCGAAGACATCCGACACGCACCGCCGCAGGGAGTCGCTTGGCGGACCTAGGTTGATGCAGCTTTTGTCGCATGATGCGTCTCAAGCCTCCCTCCCCAGCCTGGTCTGCACAGGATTCTGGTTGCGCCACCAATTGGCCCAACCCTCGCCCGCAGCCATGGATGCAAATTGGGGAACGAAGGTAGTGATGCTGACCGTTCGCGCCCCTCGTTCCTTTCCCGCCCTCTCCCGTCGCCGCTCTCCCACCTCTCTCCCGATACTATCGCCCTGTCCGTCGCCGTCGCCATGGACCGCTAATAGTCGAAAGAAGACCGCGAAGGCCAATTGCGTAATGAGGCGATCGAGGCGCAACTCAAGAAGGATCGGCTGGTGCAGAGGAATGAGATTAGTGAGTCTGTCAAAGGCCAACAGTTCATGTTCATTTTGTTGCAAAGCAGAGTGGCCCGGGCGCGCCCTCGTGATCCAGAAGAGCCAAAGAGATGGAGTAGAAGCGGCAGCCGTTGGGTGCTAATTTGGACGGATCGGATCGGGTGGAAAGCGTGGTTGGTCAGACTCGGAGTTAGTGTACCTGTCGGAATGATCTCCCAACGTCGGGAGCCTTATGCGGACATTTGCAGCACATTCAGCAAATCGCATGGTGGACGATCAGCAGCACGTGCAAATAGCTCCCATGCGAGTGTTCATGACAGTGGCCGCCTGGTGCTGGGTGCACGCGGGGAGAAGAACATGAACCCTTGGCCCCTTTGGCAGCGAGGACTGACAAAGTGTGCATCTGCGCTTCTGCTGTGCTGCAGAGATGCTCCTCTTGGGAGCTGGTGAATCAGGCAAGTCGACAATTCTCAAGCAGATGAGGCTCATAAACCATGGCTCATACTCTGTTGAGGAGCGTGAGTCGTACAAGGAGATCATCTTCAGCAACACACTACAGTCCATGCGCGTCCTTCTCGATGCCATGGAGAACCTCGACATACCGCTCGCAGACGGCGCCAATGCCAAGCGCGCCGAGATCATCCTTAGCTTGCCAACACAGATGGAGACCGAGACCTTGCCGCCGGTGGTAGCAGATGCCATTGGTGGGTTGTGGCTCGACCCCGGTGTGCAGGCGTGCTTCCGACGAAGTAGGGAGTACCAGCTGAACGACTCTGCACCGTACTACTTTGACTCGATCGCGCGCATCTCCGACCCGCGCTACACACCGACGGACCAGGACGTGCTGCGCTCGCGCGTCAAGACAACCGGCATCACCGAGACGCACTTCCAGATCGGCGAGCTGCACTACCGACTTTTCGACGTCGGCGGCCAGCGGTCCGAGCGAAAAAAGTGGATCCACTGCTTTGAGAACGTCACCGCTATCATATTCCTTGTCGCCATCAGCGAGTATGACCAGCTGTTATACGAGGATCAGAACGTCAACCGCATGCAGGAGGCGCTCACGCTCTTCGACAGCATCTGCAACTCGCGCTGGTTCGTCCAGACAAACATCATCCTCTTCCTAAACAAGATCGACCTGTTCCGGGAAAAGCTGCCCATCTCACCAATGAGCAACTACTTTAGCGACTACACCGGCGGCGGCGACTATAATGCCGCGTGCGAGTATATCGTCAACCGCTTCGTCTCACTAAACCAGAGCGAGACAAAAACAGTCTACACACACTTTACGTGCGCCACGGACACTAATCAGGTGCGTTCTCCCTCAGCCATCGACTCCGCTGATGCTGCCATACTGACATTGCTCGCTTCCGCACTCGCCCGCCCCGCGCATACGAGTAGATCCGGTTCGTCCTCTCCGCCGTCAACGACATCATCATACAGGTCAACCTGCGCAGCTGCGGTCTGCTCTGAGCGAGTCGTGAGCCGCACCTCGGTGTGACCGCCAGCCGCCGCGTCGCTATCCACAAAATCGAACAGTGTACCGTTAGATGAGCAGCATCCCTGTTTTTTTGCCTTGGTCGACCGCCTCGCTGGCCTGCACGGCACAGCACTCCATAGCACTGCGCTGCACAGCATCTAAGGCCAGCGCTGCACCCCTCGCCCCAACCCGGCCGCGCGGCTTGAAACACAACAACAAAGGAATCTGGCGTTTGCTCGTCCGTCGGACGGCACAGCCATTCTTTCTTCTCCTTCGGGTAGCCAGGCCCCCCATCGCATCCATCGTCGTCTCCGTCGTCGTCATCAGGTTATCAATGCTCAGCGTCACCGCCGCCGCCGCCACCCGTATACTACTTTATATTTACCCCCTCATCAATTTCATTGTCGTTGTCCTTAGTTCCGCTGCCCGCGTCCACTTTCACTGCTTTTGGCTCGGGGAGAGTAATTCTTCAGCTTGATAGATGCGCATGAGTCGGGACATCCCTCCCATGTCACCGTGACGAGCGCGCTGCCCTCGAACCCTCCTCTCGCCAGGTGTTGGCACAGCTGCCTGGTTTGTATGGCCTCTATAATACAGGTGACGGCGGTGCAGAGAGCTTGTATTGCGCAAATACTAGCGCAAAAAGAGAAAAGGCCCGTCAGTAGTTGCCATCCTCGCCGACGGGGCGTTAAAGGCACTCACGTTTCTCCACTGCATCCCGAAAGCCATCACTATCCACACCTGCAGCACGCTCCGCCTGCACGCTTCGCTCAAGCCCACTTTGGCAGAGCGGATTGCGGGCAACGTGCTGCACCCAAGGCCCTTTCCAGATGTTCACCAGCACAGATTTGAGCGTGACGCCGCCTGTCCCTGGAATCGTACCTGCTGCTGATGCAAATCCTGCGCCTGCGCTGCCAGCCCCGCCTGCAAGCGCTGTCGCCGCATTACTGGATGAAGAGGTGGCGCTGGAAGCGACAGAGAAGCGCGAAGAGATCGAGTAGCCTGACATGAGACCGCCACCGCCGGGCAACGACGAGCCCTTGGCCGCACTGCCTGCGCCGCTGCCGGACGCACCCGTACCGCCGAACCCGGTAGCAGATGGCATCGGGTCAGTGAGCAGGACAAAAGTGTACATCGTCGGCGATTGGAAATGTGTAAGCGTGTATGTCGGCGTCGTGTAGCTGTTAAACAACTCTGCTGTCGCTGGTGAAGCCGAGGACAGAGGGGACACGCCGTTCTCCTGTGTTCCCGCCGCTCCTCCTCCAAGCTTGCGGCACATATTTCGCAGCGAGAAGACCACACCGTACACGAGCTTGGCTTGTTCATCAAACGGCAGCGCGCTGTTTCCACCCAACGACACTCCTTCATTCGCCGTTCCAGCCACCGAAGACGTCAAGCTGGACCGCTGCTTCGAAGCGGTGGGTAAACATGATTTCGCGACACTGCGAGTGACATTTGGCGGCACCTCTCCCGCTTTCCGGAGTGGCCCCGCGCCTTTCGCGCTGCCTGATGCATTCCCACTCGACGCTAGCACCTGTGTCGCATTTCGCAGGGATGAGCTGAGCGATTGGAACGTGCTCGTGCTAGCTTCTGATGCGGCAACCGTGTCCACGCTAGTGTCCCCGACGGCAGAGGCCGAAGAGGACGGCTCGGCGGTAGCGGGGTGCAGTGGCGCCAAGAGGCCCTGGTGGAGGTGCGTCCAGTCTTGGTAATAGACTGGATTACAATGCCGGTCAAAGATGTATAGCGAGAAGACCTGTAAAAGAGGGTAGAAACGACAGGACTCATGAGCTTCTCCTTGCGATCGGGCTTCACAGCGGCTCGGCCACTCACTTTCGTTGTCATCGTGCGTCAGACATGTGATACGAAAGATCGATCCGGACTAGCCACGGAGCAGGGTGTACCGCCATAAACGAACGAAACGTGGGCGTTATGTATCGCATCCCAATGCATGGAACCTGGCCCCTGGGAGGTGGGAAACAGACGGAAGTTGAAAAGGCAACTTCGAGTGGGGAGAGTAAATGTCGCGTCTCATGTGGAGCACACGCTTCAAAAGTACACACCTCATCCCATCTTGCACCAAAGCGTTTTCTGTTCTTCTTGCCGAACCGTTGATCTCCATCACTTCCAATACAAGCCACTTCGACGATCGATCATCGTCAAATTAGACAGAAATACGCTGGGCCGATCATACAAGGTTCAGACCGTGGCCACGACGCTACTCCTGCGTAGAACCCAGCAAAGATGGCCGCCATGCACACGTAAGTGCCCCTCGCGGTTTCTTTATGGAATCACTTGCGCTGATACACCCTGTGTTCCCGCTGCCTTTCCTGCATGTACAGCACCTTTCAGCGACTGAACTCCGTCACGGCGTTCGGTACGTCCACGATTCTTGCTCTCCTGGCCATCATCGCATTCTTCAGCTTCCCAGTAAGTTACAAGCCGCGTGGCACGGTCGAGGTGCATTCCCTCAAAGTGTGAGCATCTTGTCTCAGTTTTAATGCACTCAGTGCCACCCTGCTAAGGTCTGACACGGGCGTGCGATGTCATTATCTGGCTATAGTGTCTCTGGGAGAGCGCAGTACCACTTTGATCGCAGGGAGCAAGAGTACTTGACGACCGAATTCGACATCGATGCCGACTTTTCAGGACTGTTCAACTGGAACACCAAGCAAGTATTTGTCAGCCTTGCAGCTGAATATATCTCCTCGAAGCATGTGAGTTGCATCGTGGTCGACTCCTCCCAAACCTCCTCGCTGATCCATGTTCCTTTGTACTGCAGCCACAAAACCAGGTGGTCGTATGGGACCACATCATCCGCAGCAAGGCGGACGCGCATGTCCAAGCCAAGGGCAACCTAAACAAGTACGGCTTCCGAGAAGTATCCAAGAGCTTCAACAACATCACTCAAGCAGAATTCATCCTCAAATGGAACACTATGCCGTACGTCGGAGCACTTGCCTATGGCGATCAAGCGCGCACGGAACCTGTGCCAGTACCGGTCCGCGCCATCAAGGAGGAAGGGACGCAGAAAAGCAAGAAGCGATTGCCGTATTGAGCAGGAGGTGCGATCGCATTGAAATCAAAGTGGCCAAATCATTCGTGAAAATAAGCGCTTCTCGTGAATTATGCTACAATAAAGCCGAGGCCGTGGCTAACCTTCGAATGCCTTGAAGAATGTGCTGCGTCTCCGTTTCGCCTTGCCATTCTGACTCGAGCCGGCGAGTCGCGACACGGGTATACACAAAGAGGCGTTTGCCTTGCCCTTCTTCTTGCGCACGTCTTCGTCCGAGTCTGAGTCAGAGTCGGAATCTGAACTAGATTCGCTCGAATCCTCGCCCGCCTCGCTCTCAGCGCCTGAAGTTGAAGGTATATTCGCGGTGTCCATCCCCCCCTTGGCAGGCGTCGTTGCAGCCCCATTGACGCCGTCGTGCGCATTCGTGGCGGGCCCCGTTGGAAAAATCCGTGTCGAGGTGGACGCAGCCGAGACGGGCGAGTTCGGCTGCGAGAAGCTCTGCCGCAGATGTTGCGGCCTTAAGTCGGAGAGTCTCTTAAAGGGCGTCTGGATGATACGCTGTGCCAGAGTCGGCTGTGACGCACTTGTGCCATTCCGCGTGCTGCGCCGAAACGGATTGAACGGCTGTGAGATTTCTGGGACGGCTGCTGGTCGCAGACTCTCCTTTTCCTTGCCCTCCGCAACGCCGTCCGCCTCATTGTTCCGATGATTGCCCAGCTGATTCGGAGGCGGTGATGCAGAACGGGAGCGCAAGCCCTCTGCCATATCTTCGGCATCTCCCTCTTCGATCTCAGAATCAGAAAATCCTTCTCCGTCCTGCGCATGGCCGTTGGGCAGTTGCTGTTTGTCTGTGCCTTGATCCGCATTCAAGATGTCATCCTCTGCCTCTGCATCTTCCGGCTCTGTTTCCTCCTCTTCTTCCACATCCTCATGATCAGTTTCAATACCTTCTTCCTCTTCGTCAGAGTCTTCGGACGTCTGGCTGCTACTATCCGACTCGATCTGATCAGCTTGAGAGTCTTCAGGCTCGAAGCCCTTGCCGATTGGTACGGCTAATGAACTCTTGCGCGGCGAGGCCGGCTCGTCGATTGCCTGCGTTTCAACCTCGTCTTCTGCAGGCGGTGCACTAGCCGGTGCTAGAAGCGGGCTCGTTTGCAGTTCTCGGGACGAATCGGAGCCTGTCGGGGAGCGCAGTCCAGGGAGCGGCGCGAGTTTCGGGTCGGCGATGCTGACTCGCATCGACGCTTCAGCTGGCAGGGGAGCTGCTGTTGCCGACTGCGAATCAGGTGTTGTGGCAAGCACAATTTGCGCAGCTTTGATCCGATCTGACAATGCGGGGCTGGCAACGCCTCGCTCTTGCGTATGCAAATCAGGGTTTGCTTCGAGGGGCGCATTCACCGAATCTTTGACCTGGACTGCGTCGCGCAGCGCGACCTCGGCTTGCGTCGTCTCGTACAGGCTGACCGGGGTCCCGTTATGGTGTCCTTCTTGCACTTTACTTGCCAAGTCTGCTCCTTTCTTGATCGCCATCGATGCCCTCTCGCGCAACGCTCCGAGTTCGTCGAGCAGGGAGGTCATGTCCTTCTGCGGCTGGGTTGTCCCTGAAACCTTTTGCGTCGGTATTGACTTCGGGGCGGTTACTGCCGTTTCCTGCATTTGAGTATTGTCAAGTGTTGATTCTTGCGTTTGAGGGTTCTTGATGTTTGATTCTGACAGCGAAAAGGCGGATCAGCGACTGGTGCGCATTGAAAGCTCCACAGTAAAGTCACGCAATGTGATACTCACTCAACCACTGTTCCAGCACCTTCTGTGCAGCCCTCTCAGGCACCTTCTTTCGTCGACCCTTCTCCTTGAGCTCTTGACACCTGCGCTGCACCGCGTCGCGGCCTGCGCGAATCACTTCGCAACTCTCAAAGGAATGCGACAGCTCCTTATTGCAGATCCCACATTGTCCGGGAACATGGAAAGGTTGGGGTACAGTTGCCACTGCCACTGCTGCTGTTGCCTTTCCTCTCATTCGCGCGCTTCTCGCTTTCATGACGGACGACGGCTCGAGAGTCTCTTCTTCTTGCCTAACCGCCGCATTGTCAGCATTAACTTTTGACACCGTCTGTGAAGCATCCAGCATTTGGTCGTCATCACACTGAGCGACCTGTCCTCCAGCTTCTGGCTCGCTCTCAGGCCTTGCCTCTGGCTGAGACGCGTTCATGGCCTGGGAAGCCTTGCCACCTCGCGCCTCCGTCACATGTGCATCGTGATCCTCTGCACCCCCAGCATCATTGGATGACCGGGTAGAAGACGCCAGGTCGACTGTGCTCGGCGATTCCTTAGTGGTCACATCCTCATCCACGCCCATGTCTCCGTACGCCGTTCCCCTGGCTTCCTTCGCTCTCTCCACGTTGGCCGCGAGCGCGGGCGTCTCTTGCGTCTCCGGCACGACGACCGCATTCGATTCCTGTTCCATCGTCCCGAAAGCTTCCAGCGGCTTGTCGCTCCGCCGCGCTACGGTGACTGGCTGGGGATTTGCCGATGGGCTTGCAGGGCCCCCCGCATCATTTTCGTTGAGCAAAGTTATGGCAAGAGACGAAATTACTGTCTCCTCCCCGACTACTTTTGAGGTGGCGTCATCCGCAGCACCAGAACGCTCCTCCTGGTTCTTGGCCTTGCGCTTGCGCCTGGGCTTTTTCGGCGACGCGTGTGTCACCTCTGCCTCCTCCTCTCGACTGTCCGTCCCGCCTTCATGCCCTGTCCCACTCTGCTTTCGGGCAGATGCCGAACCATTCATCCTTCCACATCGGGTTCGGCTGCCAGCGACACCGACAGCACGCGCATTGTCAACTGCAGTCCTCGCTGGCTGGAAGACGAGCGGGGTAGACACCAGCGGCATATGCCCACCTTGAGGTGTATGCGGTCCTGCACCCGCAACCGGATGGCTGATCCGCGGGAGGCTGATAGCCGAAGGCCCGCCCCATTTCCAACCTGCTGGGGGCTGTACGAATAGGTTGACCTCGTCCTGGCCGCGCGCTTTACGTTTGAACGCTAGCAAATCACCGGCTGTGAAGGATGAAATAATTCACGTGTTCTGTGAGAATACGTGGATGGGAAGGGTGCGAGACAGCAGCTGAACATACAATCTTCGATGTGGATCAGCACGCTGTCCAAGTTCTTGTACGCGAGGCGCAGCTCTGCCCCAGGCGGAAGGCCCATTTTGTAACACAGGATAGCGCTAATACCAGCTAAGTCCGTTAGATCTGAGGAAAGTATCGTGACAAAAATGAAAATGGATCAGCATCCACGCGTGATGCGCGCAGCACATTTTCGATATTGAACCCCACCTTCTGTTGGCCTCGAAAAGACAGTAGAAGTGTCGACAAAAAAGTTGACAATGCCTCCGTGGACGGCCTCGCGAAGGCATGACTCATCAGCGAGGAATGTTCCATCACATGCAGGTAATGAACTCGTAGCAGAACACGATGGAGCACGTAGGTGCAAATGGCGCCGCGATGCTGAATGCACAAGGATTGGCAGATCGAGCTCCCTTCTCTCACGTCCACGTTTGCATTGGTGAAGGGCATGTTGTCGCTCCTGCGCAAGCGAAGTTGATGGCGGCGCAGCATCCCCTTCAACGTTAACGTTACGCTTCTGCCGCTTCCTCCGAGACTTCCCCGTTGGGCTTTCCACCTGCGTCAACTGCGGCTGCACAGGGCGAGCATTGCCCTTTTGCGCCGGCGTAGGTGCTAAAGACTGGGGATCGTCCTCCCAATCGACACGCTTGCGTTTGCCTTTTCCTGTGGAGGATGCTCCCACATTAGCCCCAGGCACTGGTGCTGGAGCCGATTTGGGTGTCGCTATTGTTGGCGGCTTCTCCTTCTGCGCACGCGTTGCATCCGCATGTACCTTCGGTTTACACTTGACATTTGCAATTGATAGTTGAGAAATTGCTGGTGCTTGTGGAGCTTTCACAGCTGTGGACGTGTCAGACTGGGAGCTAGTCGATGTCAAGCCCGATTCCGATGAAGAGGACGATGAGGAGGAAGATGAGGATGCTGCGGAAGCGGAGATTGACGAAATGTCAAAAGACTGTCCGTGCGCTTGGTCCTTCGCCTCAGATGTCATCTGGGCATTTTGACGTCCTTTGCGGGAATTCACGGCTTGACCTGTTGTTTTTATTGGCTCTTCGCCCTTTGAAGACGAGGAAGAGCTGCTGTCAGATGAATGGGAGCTATCGGACGACGAGGAGCCGTCACTGGTGTCAGATGTCGCTGTCACAGCTCCGGTCGGCGCGTTCTTTGCCATAACTGGGCCGCGAGCCCGCTGTTGCGGCATCCTGGCTGTGCTGAATGCCTAACCTGCTGCATGTGCTGGCGTCGCACAATGCACAAGCTACGGGCGCGTGTGTATTGGATACTATTGGGATGCATGATCAAGAGTCAAGAAACTCAATATCTAAATCGGTGTCCATGACGATGAAACTTGCTGTAGCGACGGCAGCAAAAAAAGTACGGAACGCGGATTCAGTTCTCTCGGCCGGGAATGAGCAACAGATCCAAAGTAGGGCTATGTCAATCTACACCGACTTCAAGGTGACTTTTCTTCGGGAGCCTCTCTCCATCTTTCCGTGCTCTCATGAGACTGCAACTTTTGACCTTCCCAGCGAACGACCTGGCAAAGCAAGTCATCGGAGCAGCGACGCTGGCTCTGCATTCGTTTATCTTCTGTTTGGAAAGCCGACGATGTCAGCGCTGACAGCGTCAGAAAAACGCCTCGTCCTGCAGCTGCTGCGGCACGGCAGCACGAGCAGCGCTCGGTCGACGGTCCTTGCTTGTGCCCCTCGCCAGCTGCATTCATCCGCTTCGTCCCCGTTCGCCTCTCCTTCCAAGCACAGCGACGCTTCCCGTTCAGCACCTGCGTACCATGGGCGCTATATGCCTGAAGCGGCGGCGCTCGCCAGCGGCGGCGGTATGCAGCTACCCGAGCCTAAGCTGCGTCCGAAACCACCGATGCAGACGTACTACACTGCCCGCCCAACGTACATCGCCACGCTTCTGCGCCTGGCGGACCTGACGCGCCGCTCGAAGCGCGCGCTCGAGCAGGCGTACATCCTACCCCCCAACTCGGCTCCGCCGAGCGTAGCAGCTGCTGCAGCGGGAGGCGCTCGCAGTGGCACTTTGAAGGCCTGGCTCCCACCCGCGGGCATCGCGCAGAAACTCAGCATGCCATCGCTCAAGGCATCGCAGTACCGCCGTATCATCGCGCACTTATCGGCGCTGGCGCGCTACCGCTCGCTGGTCTCGACGCACCTACCCGGCATCGACCCCACGCTGGCAAAGGAGGTTGAGGAGGCGTTTGCGGACTTTGCGCGCCCAGGCGGCAGCCAGGACTTTTCAGTGCCGGGCGTGGTGAGCAGCAGCTTAGCAGGCGCAGAGCGCCAAGAAGCGGCGACAAGCGCGGGTTTGGACGCGCACGGACGGGCGTACGCTATGGGCCGGCGAAAAGAGTCGAGCGCACGTGTCTGGATTGTTCCAACGCCCTCCTCGCCACCGTCTACAATCGCAAACCGAAGCGGGCAGCTAGAGGAACAACAAGCGTCTGTCGTCGTCGGCCAAGTTCTGGTCAACAATGCGACCCTGGGCGAGTATTTTTCACGCATCGACCACCGGGAGCGCGTCATGTGGCCACTGAAGCTCGCGGGTAAGCTGGGTGTTTTTAACGTCTTTGCGCTTGTGCGCGGCGGGGGCAACACAGGGCAGGCGGGAGCTGTGGCGCATGCGCTCGCCAAGGCACTCGCCGTCGCAGCGCAGGCGGGCCTCGTGGACGGCGGCGAGGAGGAGGTGCAGCGGATCCGGGCTGTACTACTCAGGGGTGAGTTGATCGGTTGTGCACGGCTACAAGCGTCGGCGCTCGCTTAAACTCGTATTCGGGCGACGCTGACCGGTCCATATACTTTTGCAACATACAGACGGCGTTCTCCGGCGCGATCCTCGTATGGTCGAGAGGAAGAAAACAGGCCTGGTCAAGTCAAGGAAGGCAAGAACCTGGGTCAAGCGTTGATCGGGCTTCGTGTCTCATTTCCAAGCTTTGTTCACTTGACAGCGTGTCATACTACAGCAGGTGGATGTCATGATGAGCAATTGCAATCACATTGATCAACACAGCCTAACGAAACGAGAGTCACGAGTACTTTCGTTACGAGACATCTGCCTCTGCGAGCGCCGACGGTCGTTTCCCGTTGCACAGGGCCGCCCATACAGCGTGCGCCTGTGCACGTGCCAGTAATTTCGCGGGTGGATGGGCTATAGAAAGCCATCGTAGCTCCTCAGCCCCGCTGGCATTTTACCAGATGGAGGGAATGGTTCCATAGCCGAACAATTTTGAAAGATTTCTATTGCTGTTTTAAGATTGCCTTGCATAGTGGCTTGCGGAGAACCAGTCGTGGATTCTGAAACAAGGCGTCAAACCTGCGAGAGGCGTTTGCAACGCCCCTCTTGTTCAGAACAGCGAGGAAAATGGAGAGGTATGCAAAATATGCTTGCCTAGTACGGAATAAGGGACGGCGAGTTGGCTAGAGAAAACAAAGACAGGGGGATGCGTTCTTGACGGCGCTGCATAAGAAGCTTAGCTATTTCATTCATTGTCCTCAGGTGGGCGTCCTTCTCGGTTCGGTCGATCCCCGCACGGCCACGGACACCCGTGACTATGGAATTCAATGCATTATATTGAAAATATGGGCGATACCAATTCAAGGAGATGCTGTCTCCGCTCGCCCAGGCCCTCTCGCGGGGCTCATTTACAGCATGCTGCTGCTGGCTTCGATCTAGGATATTGGGGGGTGATGGTAAGTCGAGTCGTGGTGGGTGGTGGTGGTGGTGGTGGTGGAGGCGAGTTGCTCCAGCCTGCGGTCTGGCTGCATGTGTGGGCGCAATCAGACGGGTGGGCACGAGAGCAGTTTTGTCTCCGCAGCCTTGGTTTCCCTTTCTACTCTGTTCAAGACAAATACTTGGACCAACTCTTCCATCAACCCCCCCCTCAAGCTTGTGCAGCCTCCCCCTTTGCGACAGCACGACACGTGCAACTATGCCGCTGCGTGCAGAAGGCTCGACACTCTCGAGCAGTCTCCTTCTCTGCTCGTGCACTTGATTACCGATTATAGCAGCAGCAGCGTCTTCTTCCAGGGTAACAAACACATCTCGCCGGTCCTTACCGCAAGATGGACCCAAACCAGCCAGACACGCTCGCCTCCAGCTCGTCGTACTCCTCCAACGCACCGTACGGCCTGGCGCAGTCGTGCAACTTTGCCTACGAACCTCCGCCCACGGCCGCTCCTGGTGAAAAGTCGCCTTTGTCTCTCCAGCAAGTCCACTACATTGTCCGCCACGGCGAGCGCACACCCGTCCGTGCCCGCCTCGCTCAATCCAATCCGCCGATACCGACGCGCTGGAATTTGTGCCATGAGGCCAACAGGTTCCGGGCCGCCGTGCTGCGCAATCAAGATGGAGATGCAATCTCTGCGACCACAAGGGCTGTCGAGGTGATGGACGAGCGCGGACGCCCAAAGGATGTACACAATGGTGACTGGTGCGTCTCTCCTTTCTTCCTTACGTCCTCAGTGCTTGCTTGCTTTGCAACTGACACACCCACAAGCTCCCCTTGCCTTTTGATGCAACAAGCCTCTACGGCGAGCTGACTGACTTGGGACGCAGCTCCACCTTTGCCGTTGGCCAGCGTTTACGAAAGCTGTACGCCGACCAGCTCGGCTTCCTCCCCGATCTGAATAAGCTATCTGCAGAGGACACGGACAGTTTCTACTTTCGGAGCACCAACATGCCTAGGACCGTCGAGAGCCTGCAGCAGATCGTCGCCGGCTTGCTGTCTCGCCCTGACCGGGACCCCTCCGCCGCGCCGCCCGCGAGCGGCGATCTCGCTGAGAGTCCAAAGGGGGGATTTGCGCCTCAGCTGTTGGTGAGGTACGTCCTTTTCTGCATTCTTCGACGCACCTCTTCCCACCGCCCTGCGCCAGGTCTGACTCGTCTCCCTCCTTCGCACCCCACAGAGACATGTCTGTCGAAGATCTGCTGCCAAACACGGTCGCGTGCGGCACCCTACGGCACCTGGACCAGTTCTTCTCATCATACGCTGCGCGGCTGTGGAACCCACACTTGGCGAAGTATGACTCGGTTATAGCACCGCACAATGACGGGCACGCCGTGCGCGTCGACTCGCACCCGCGCCTCAATGGCATTCTCGACACAGTCAACGCGGCCGTCGCGCACGGTATTACCGTCCCTGCGTGCTTTCGTGACAGTGCGCATGCGCCCACGTCGCTGCTGCGCGAAATGGAGCGCGCCGTCGTCGCCGAATGGTTTATCGCCTACTTGGCACCGGACCCGCATAAGCGTGCCAAATTCCGCCGCCTCGCCATGGGCCCCTTCCTCAACAGCGTCGCGGACCGGCTCGAGGCCAAGGCGGATAGTGGCGTCAGTCAGGGGGGGAAACAGGGAGAGAAGTTAAAGCTGGGCCTTTACGCCGCGCACGACACATCGCTCGCAGGCATGCTCTGCACGCTTGACGCGTTCCGCGACCGCTGGCCCGCCTTCACGGCCAGCCTGGGCATTGAACTATTTAAGGATGAACGGCCACACGTCCATCAACATCGCTTTGCGCGGTGGGGATCCATGTTGGGGCTGGGCACACCCGCGCGTGCGCCACACTGTGAGTCTTTCTCCCCTCCCCTTCCTCTTGTTGTGCCATGGCACAGAGCTTGCACGCAGGTCCTGATGGAACGCAGCCGTGTTGAATACTCCGCCACAGATGTCAGATTACGATTTGGTGACGAAACTCTGCGCCTACCCGGCTGCGCAGCACCCGGCAAGCACCTCGCCTCGCTCGCGGCTGGCTCCCCTTCTACATCTTCATCACAAGGGCAAGGGCATCCGGAATTCTGCACGCTCGAGGCATTCCTGGAGCTTACGCGTGCACTACGACATCCCGACGGGCTGTCATATTCGCAAGAGTGTAATGCCAAGGAGAAATAACGCGCCGTCAGCGCTGGTGATGGTAGTGGTGATCACACATTGCCCTCTGCACTTGCCACTCCCCTCTCTCCTCGTGTCGACTATGTTCCCATTCTAGCTCTCCTCTGACCCCTGCTCTCCTCACGTGGTACCTTTTTGAACTGCATCTTGCTGTCGCGATATGGACGTGGTGAACAGGGGCCCATTAATCGCTTCACAGTGGCATCCTCCACCGCTGTGCAAGTTTCATGCCGGGCCCAAAGCAAACAGGCGCATCGCATTACCTCCCTTGGGAGAGAGCGGTGCTGTCGCCGACGGACGCTTCACTTTGCGAGGTATGATCTGGCCTTTTTCCTCTGTCTCGTTTGGGATGGAGGTAAGGCACTCATCCTTCGCCATTACACGTTCTTTACACTCTTCGCCTCGTTCATTCACCCGGCTCGACTGGCTGCTAGCGATCTGCCGCCCGCAAACACTGTCCCTGACGTCGCGCATCAATCCTTGCGCCTGTTGGCTTCCTGCTTGCGCCCTACCGATGAATACCAAGCAGGGCCGAGGGCAGATAGAACGACTGCAGGCATTTTCAGAGCAACAAGGAGCGGGACTACCGACAATATTGCGATTGTCTTTGTAACTTGATGTGAGCCGTATTCGCAGTCTATTATAAATGTGCGAGTCCGCATGCAAGCAAGGAAAGGGGACTGTCGCGACGGGACCACTTTCGGCCGGGTCATCGCCTCAGTAAAGATGAATGATTGAGAATAGCCGCTAGCGCGGAGCATCTTTTATTGTGTCTGATGTACAGCAGCAAGCTAGCGGCGTCGCCGAGAAATGCTATAAGTAATCTTGTCATCGCCGCAGATGTATTGTGTAGCGTGCTGTGCGTAGTGCTGGTGGTGTCTTGCGAATGCGGTTGTGGTTGTGGGAAATGGGCGTTTTGTGACTGAATGTGCGAGTGGAGGCGCAGCCAGCGCCGCGAGGCGGGCTACACGGCGAAGAGACATTACAGCTCCACAATGCGGGCTCTGCTTGCTCTTGCTCGCTTCCGCGTCGGCGTCGGCGCCAGCATCGCAGTGCCATTGTGTGGCGCAAAGCCGCAGTCGAAGCAGCGCATCGCAGGTGCGTGTTCGTGGCATAGCTGCTGTCCGCTTTCCGACTTGGCCCTGCGCTGTAGCTTTCCTTGAGACTCGCGACCTTTCTTCGTCTTGCTTCGCGAAAGGGCCTGTCGCATCCGCGTTCACTCCACTCCGCCGCTGCGCTCACCACAGCTGGTTCATGAGCTGAAGCGAGTACTCTACGCCGACAAATGTGGCGGCATTGGCGGGGAACGCGCGCGCCATGGCTGGTCCGAATCCCTTGAAGAGCGCCTTGACGCCTTCCTTTGCGACAGTCTTCTGCGCGCAGTCGAGGAAGCCGGTGTATGTGCCATGCGGGGCGCCCTGGTAGCGTGACTTGATCACGTCTGGCGGAATCGCGAGCGACCACATGGCCATGCCGGCCAGGCCGCCGGCGGTGATCACGTTGAGCATGTTCAGCTGCGCCGGGTCGGCACCAGCGGGTGCGAGGAGTTTCTTGACGGTTTCGTACTGGTTGGGGGTCGGGGGTAGGAGAGGAGAGGTCAGCTCACTTGCCGCGTGCGGTATATGCTGGCTGTGCGGACGCGACCACTCACCGCGCAAAAGTAGGCGGCAGACCCGGGGCCGTCTCGGGCAAGGGTGGCGCCGGACCCGCGCCAGATTGACTTGAGGCCTCCCTCCTTGTACAGCTGGCGCACAACATCGATGGGGCCATTGTACTTGGGACCGGCGGCGCTGGCGCCCTGCCCCTGCAGCTGGAGCAGCACCTTGACGCGCTCGGCGGGCCCGGCGATGAGTGTGGTGGGTACGGCGGAGAAGAAGCCGGCAAAAGCTAGCTCTGGCAAGGAGAGTTGCGGGTCAGTGCGCTTGGGCGTCAGCGCGTAGACCACCTTCTTGCCCATGTCGTACGACCAGAAGGAGAGCGCAAAGATCGGCGTCACTCCCAGCAGCGGCGGGAGCATGCCGCGGTACATCCTGGCGACAGAGAAAAAGAGAGAGAGGGGAGGATGGTTATCGATACGAGTATGAACGACGACAGGGCAAACCAGAAGCAGGCTCACCCTCGGATGCCATCCTTGGCGAGTGTCTTTTTGACAACGTCGATTCCGCCAGTGTAGGTCCCTTCTGCGGCGGTCTGCAGCCTGGTTTTGGTCAGGTCGAAGGGGTGTCCGACGAGAACGGCGGCGACGCCTCCAAAGCCGCCGGATAGGAACGACTTTACAGGGCTTGTCCCGGACTTGGCCGCCTGGAACTCGTCCTGGCTGCTCGCGTCGTTCGTCTTGGAGACGGCCATTGCGCGCGGCGCTGCTTCTTTCTCTGGCCTCTTGGAGCGGTTGAGAGAGAGAGCGCGAGAGATGAAACAGAAGGTGCCGTGCCGCCCACGCAAGAGAGGATGCTGCTGTTGCAATTGGATGAGTTGAAGATCGGTGGGGGGATGGGAAAGGGAAGGAATGTCTGGATCCATATATAGTGTAGCACCTCTGTCTGTTTCCCCAACCGGCTTCTTCCCGCTTTCAACAACCGACGATCACAACTTGCTTTCCCTGGTGAGTGGCTGAGCGAGCAGAGGGACAACGAGATGGCGCAAGGCACAACCCTACTCTTTCCACCGAGGCAGGCTCGGAGGCACCTGCACCGATCCGAGCCAAGGAGCCAAAGAATGGGGGGGATAGATGGAGGATATGTATGATGTATGTAGCAGCAGGCTGGCTGTGGCAGCTGGTCATGCTGCCTCGTCGCCCGTCCTACCGATCTGCTGTGGCGAGCACAAGGGCCCGACGCAGTGTATCATTTGTGCGTGGTCGGTGCCGTGGGTGGTGGCGCGTCAGAGACGCGCCACGCCACCACAACAACACCAACAAGTCAGCAACCGCTTATCTCCCCCTCTCTCTCTCTCTCACTTTCTCTCCTTTGCATCCATCAATCTCGCTGCAGCCCTCCAACAACACTGCACAGGCTCTCAAACACAGACACCATGGCGTCCCATGTGCAGCAGCCCGCCGCCGCCGCAGCGGAGGCGCCAGGGGCATCGAGCAGCGGCAGAAGCCTGGTCGCACACCCAAACGTCCCACTCCGCTACAGCGTCGCAGAGGCATCTAGCTACAGCGGCAACTACCACCCGTCCAACATCCTCGTTGACCGCCCTCACGACCTCACCTCGCGCTGGAGTGGCGCCAGCGTCGTCAGCATGCAGAGCGTCCACACCAACGTCAGCGGCCCAGGTCCTGGTCCCGCCGCTAGCAGCAGTGCGCCTGGTTCGGGGGCTGCCACGAGCTCGCATGAATGGCGCGCCGTAGCCCCTTCCGTAGCAGCAACAGTAGCGGCAGCAGCAGGCGCGGCACGTGAACGCGAGGGCGTCTCCTCTTCCTCCACCTCCCATTCTGCTTCCAGCTCCACGGCACAAGCATTAGCACCAGCCTCATCCCACGCAGCTGCTCTCCACTCCACCTCCCCGCTGATCCTCTCCAGCGCCGCAGCCCGCAGGAGAAGAGACGCAGCGACCGGCACCAACACGACACCCGCTTCACCCATCGCCGCTACGCCACCCGGCGCCCTCGCCGTGGAGAGGATGATCGCTGCGGACCAGATGATCTCTGCCGCACGCGATCGCGAGCGGCAGCGGCAACGGCAACGCGACGGACCCACCGAGGGCGCGTCCGCTCCCTCTTCCTCTACAACAGGCGCAGGTGTAGGCGCCAACGCCAGCGCGAACCAGATGCAGTCGATGCTCTACGACCATTTGCACAGCGGTGCCGGGCTGTACACGTCTGGTCGCACCCTCCCGCCTGCGTCCCCAGCTGCCGGCGCGTCATCTTCCCCCTCCGCTCCCTCCTCAGGTGCATCGGCGGCCACCGCAGCAGCAGCAGCAGCGGGCTCGACAAAGCAGTACATCCTCCTGCAGCTCGACCGCCCCGCCGTCGTGCGCAGGATCCAGTTCGGCAAGTACCACAAGGCGCATCCGTGCAACCTTGCCGATTTCAAGGTGTACGGCTGGCCCATTACGTCTACCAGCAGCAGCACCCTCGGTGGGTGTGGTGGCGGTGGCGGAATTGGAAGCGGAGGTGCAGGCAGTGCTGAAGGCAGTGCCGCAGCCGTGGCAGGGCCGACGCCCTCGTTCAACGACGACAGTGAGCTGGACTCACCCCTCGGTACCGGTAGCGTGGGTGGAGGAGGAGGAGGCAGGTGGATCCGCCTGCTACGCGCGGGCCTGCGTAACGATAACGTCAAGGAGGAGTTCGATCTGCGCTGGACAGACGAAGCTGGCATACCCTTTGCGTGTCGCTACATCAAGCTGGTGAGTACGCGCCTGCCACCGGCACAAGCAAGGCCAGGCTTCCCTCTGCATCCCACGCGATCTCACCCCTGACGCCACCACAAACATAACGCACTTTCACGTATCCAGGTCCCCCTCGCGGCGCACCAGCCCAAGTTCAACTTCTCGGTGTGGTACATTGCGCTGAGTGGCGTGCGCGACGCGCCGCTCGTCGCCTCCGTTGCGCGTGCGTACGGCCTGCATGCTGAGGACTGTACTACGCGCCTCATCCTCAAGCACCTGCGCGAGCGCGCGCACTGGCACGCGTTCAAGGCGCTCCTGGCGAGCTCGGGCATCGGAAATGGCGTCTGCGGTGATGCGGTGCTCGCGCCGGATGGCGCAATCGAGGTGCAGCAGCACCAGCAGCAACAACAGCAGAGTCGCAGCGCGTCAGCCAAGCAGCTGGGGCAACATCAAAGACCGTTCGAGCATCCGCTGCTCACACACCTCTTCGACAGCCTTGTCAAGAGAGGAGCATGGGATGAAGCTGAGTCTTGGCTCGAGAGTGCTGCCTTTGGCCTTGACGCGCCAGCCCTTGCGTCGTCTGTTACCGGTCTCCACGCGCCCACACAACAGCCGCAGCCGCCGCCGCTGTTCTCCGCATACCTTTCGCGTACGCTCCCGCGCCCACGTTGGCAGCCGATCGAGCCCGCTGAACCCCGCAGCGCCGATGCGGACGACGCGCCGTCCCCCTGCGGCCGCGGCGGGCACCAGATGTGTCTGGACAGCGACAACGGCATCGCTTACATGTTTGGCGGCTGGGATGGCGAGCGCGACCTCGCCGACTTTTGGGCGTACCACATCCACCAAGGCACCTGGCGCCTCATCAGTGCTGACGCTCAGGCACAGGGCGGCCCCGGCCCGCGCAGCTGCCACAAGATGTGCTACTGCCCGCGTACCGGTTTCATCTACGTCCTCGGCCGCTTCGTCGACCAGGATCGCCAGCTCGAGCTTGCTGCTGTCTCCACTGTAGCCGCTGCAACAGGGCACAGCCGTAATGGGTCCGCGGCGGCGGCGGAAGGCTCGGCAGGCAGCGCCGCCGCTGCCGCCAGCAGTACAGCAGGGAGAGCGGCGCAGCTGCTCGACGCGCTGCTGTCGAGCCGGGACGACATCGCTTCCGGCACAGCAAGCCCTAGTGGCAGTGCGACCCCCGGCGGGCCATCATCATCCTCATCTGCGCATCGGGCTGCGCATACGCCACCGCTCCCCGCTGCGAGCGAGGGCCACCCGAGCTCGTCGCTGTGGGAAGCCGATTTCTACCGCTTCTCCACCAGAACAGGTCAGTGGACGCTGCTCAGCAGGGACACCGCAAACGAGGGCGGCCCTCGGCTGCTGTATGACCACCAGATGTTGGTTGATCACGAGTCGCAGCTGCTATACGTCTTTGGCGGGCGCGTCATCCACCCGGCTGACCCGAACAGGATCGAGCTGTCCGGCATGTACCGCTACGATGTCATCGCGTCCAAGTGGGCCTTCCTCTTTGACGACAGCACGCCAGCGCCGTGGCGCATCCCATCGCGCGTCGGGCACAGCATGCTCATCGACACGCGTCCCAGCGGCCAGCGGCAGCTGTGGATCATGTCCGGCCAGCGCGGCGATCGCTACCTCACCGACATGTGGCGCTACGACCTCGCGACGGGCAAGTGCAGCGAAGTCACGCGCGACTACCTCGCCGACGGCCCACACGCAGGCTTCACGCCGCGCGCTGCGCTCGACTCAAAGTCGCACGAGATCTACTACTTTACGGGACTTGTGCAGCGCCGCAGCTCCAATGAGCGCCTCCGGAGCTCCTTCTGGATATACCACATGGACTCGAACACGTGGTCGCTTCTGTACGAGTACGGCGGGGTCAACTCAGAGGCGAATAAGAACCGCACGAACGAAACCCACGCTTCACTTGCGCTCGGCGCCGAGATGCGCGGCTACCGCCAGCTCGACGTCATGGACACGGACGACGACGCGCCCATGGACGGCGGCGTTGGCGGGCCTGGCTTCATGTCGAACGACGACGCACTCGCCACGCAGCTCGGGTTCGACAGCAGCAGTGTCGACGAGGACATGTCCAGCTTCTTTGTGCGCCGAAAGGAGCCACAACCGCGCTACGCGGCGCAGATGGTGTTCGACGCGCCGCACTCGACCTTCTATATGTTTGGAGGCAACCCGGCCGACCCGCAAGCACCCAGTATCCGTCTTGACGACTTTTGGCAGCTCACGCTCGTCCGACCGTCGGTGGAGGATGTGCTGCGCCAAGCCAAGTTCCTCGTGCGCCAGCAGCGGTTCTACGAGATGACCAAGGGCGGCAAGGGCGCCGGCTTCGCGAGCCCGACCGCCATGCAGGCGCTCACGTACCTCCAGACTGAAGTTAGCGCCGTCGTCAACCACAGCGACGAGGGCGAGTCGACCATCTTCCGCAAGCTCATGAGTCATTTGCTCACCAGTGGCGGAGGGGGCGGCGGTGCCAGTGGGGATGGAAGCCTGGACGATGTGCATTTTGTTGCGCCCGAAGACACGCTGCGCGGTAGACGGCAGCGCCACAAATCCAACGTCCCCTCCGCCACGTCGTCCGATGCGATCGGAAGCATGGAAGACTCGGATATGCTCTCCATTTCTCAGATCATGGAGCAAAAAGAGGCGCAGGCTTGTCCATCAACCGCAGCAGCAGCAAATGATTCTATCGTGCCGGGATCAGCCCACGTCGAAGAAGGCCGGCCGACGGAGCTGTATCGTCAGCGTCTACGCTTGTTCAACAAACTGCTCAAGTTCTTCCCACCAGATTGCTGTGAGCCAACTGGTGACCTTTGCAATGCAGTAGCTTTGCTCTCAGCTCGGTTTGCTGGCAAAGCCTAGGGGCAGCGGTGATCCTCATGCTTTTTCAGCACTCGGTGTATTCTACGGCCTTCCGTCGGCCCCAGAAAATCTCTCGAGTTGCCTGCGTATTAGCATGACATTACAACCCGCGTGCAATGTTCCCAGCATCTTCTGATATGATCACTTGAAGTCTCCCCAAATATCAGCGAATGCGTCTTTCTGCGGCGCTGTTCCGCCCGTGCCAGCTTTGGCAGGGGCAGCCATCCCGCTCGTCATGTCGCCCCAGATCGAGTCATGGCTACCATTGGATTGCTGCCCTGCCGGCACGGCGGCCCACGGATCGGCACCTGCTGGCGGTGGAGGAGCGGTTGTCGAAGAGCCGAGATCCAGGCGTCCAAAGCTGGGCGTGAGGCCGCCAAAAGTGCCATTGATATTGTTCCTGGCGGTGGAAGGGCTCACGGCAGCAGTGGACTGCGCGGCGCGAGGAGCAGAGAAGAGAGAGAGAATGTCGGCTTTGATGTTTGCTGTAGTACTTGCAACACCCGTGCCAGGCGACGTCGGGCTCGTAGCTGCAGGAATGGGGTCGTTCCAGTCTAGATCGAACAGGCCACCTCCACCGCCTGAAGCCTTCCGCGGCGCTGACGAATGCAGAGCAGAGGGAGGGGTAGGACTGACGTTCGCGAGGGACCGCACTTTTGATGCTGGTGGCGGGCCGTCGTCGAGGAAATTGTTGAGCTGCGCGTTCGAGGCAACCTTTGAAGTACTTGTGCTTGCTGGTGCAGGGCTAGGATCCCCGCCGAGGAGGTCAATAGCTGACACCTTGGGGGGGGGAGCAGCTGCAGCAGACCGGCTGGTGGAAGAGGATGCCGTCGGCACGGGCGCGGACGGTGTCGCACCGGGTCCGTCCAGCACGGAAGGATCGTTAGGCAGCGGTCCTTCTTTTGCCCATCTTCGTGAATCGTACTACATTGCCGTATCAAAGGAGGCGTTCAATGCACGGGGAAGACGCACTGCAAAAAGAGGTGGTCCGCCACTCACCTTGCTCCTGATGAATGCCTCCACTTTGTGCTCTGGCGGGGCATGACCTGCCTTCAGATGTGCTTCCCAGTATGTATTTGCGCGTTTGTTTCCCCATGCCTGGATCGAAGCCATCTGCTCCGGTGTCCAAATGTCGAGGTCGATCGATTTCACTGTCGATGCAAGACGAGGGTAGGAAGGAGCGCGCGTGAGGATCGAGTCATACATCGAGCAGCGTTGCGCCAACGCACCCTTCGATATATGCGTGCCCATGCTCCTGTGAATTCCTGAGCATCTAATGCAAAGGAAGCAGCCACTGATAGGGATGGTGGTAGAATGAGCATACCGATTGCGAACCGGCTGCACTTTTTCAAGGGGTCGACTTACAGATTCCATGAAGCCCATCGCGGATCTGCAGCCAACAGAAGCCATCGAGTCAATCGGACGACATTGGTTAGTGGACGCTTGGAATCGCGAGAAAAACATTAGCTTCGACAAATCACCATTTCGTTTCTGATAGCGTAACAGTAACGAGGCGGAAGGTTAGCTTGGTGACACAGCCTGCAACATGGTCCGCTCTTGGACCCACGCAATCAGCACACATCTTGTTGTCCGGTTGCTTATCGTAGCAAATACAGACAACGGCAGGTAGCACGAGACGATGATCAGCACAAAAGACGGTATACCGTGTCCGCTACAGCAAGCTGCTCGCTTCACGGCGGCTCACCTTGACGAGTGCACGGAGGATCTTGGCATTGGCCTCCGTCTGGGCCTTGCTCTGTGACACGCGAGACATCTTAACGCACTGACAAAAAAGGAGGGCTCGCTTTAGAGTGTCCACAATCCGTCTTCCAAAGCGCTTTGTGGTGCGCAAGCGATGATCATCCGATCGTTGGGATATGCCGTGTGTGAAGAATGTGAAGGAGCAAAGTATGTGCAAGATGAGAGATGAGAAAGAGAGTTGAAGACGAGGTTGCCCAAGCCGATCTTCGCGCGGAGCCACGCTCGCGTGGTGCCAAATAACAAAATCGCCCCGCGCCACATTCTGCCCTGTTCCACTACAAGTCCACAGCCATATATCATGCGGTCAACCGCAACTAGTACAGACCCATGTACCTGCTCTGCGGAGCAGACGGTTGGTCAATGAGAAGCACGCGATAATCACGTCCCTTCCATCCCAAGTGGACGGACTCTGCTTGAAGCGCTGCTTTGTTGAGCGTCTCGTAAGACCGGATGCAAACCCCATGACCATTGAAGTGAAATAAAAGGTAGTACAATAGTGCGAAAGGTGGATAAGGGAAGCGATAAAGATACCTTGAAAATACTGCACGCTGCGGCAATAGCAAAGCAGAATATACGAAGCATCGCATGGCAGTGCGAGCCCACAGGTCATCCAAGCAGGGGTCCGTAGGTATCAATGAGAATCAGGCAATCATTCCTCCAATAGCAGCCGTCATGGCTGTGACGAGGATACCGGTGAGCAGCGCGCTGGGCGTGAGGCGAATGATGGTTGCGGAGCGCTTGGGCGCCATGGCGCTGAGGATGCCGATGTTGATGCCGGCGCTGGAGATGTTGCCGAAGCCGCACAGGAGGAGCGTGGCGATGCGTAGCGAGTGCGGCGTCAGGTAGTTAGTGTCGGCCTCCCTCAATTTGCTGAGCGAGCTGTACGCGACGAACTCGTTGGCGACAATCTTGGTCGCAAACAGCTTGGACACCTTGAGCACTTCGCCACCAGGAACACCCTGGATCGTTGTGGGAGGAGTATCACAGCATGGTCAGCGCATGTCCTGCCACCTGCCACAAGCTGAAGATGAAACACTTACAAGCATGAAAACGAAGGGGTAGAAGAGGTAGCTACCCATGAGCTCCAAGCTCAGCTCGTACGGGCCACCCCGCTCGAGGCCCCAGTACTGTCCGATCCAGCCGAGGATGCCATCAACCGTGTGGACGAGGGAAACTGCAAGGCACACAAGTCAAAAACACACCAACCCAAGCAAGCAAGAGGAAAGACAAGTGGCGTGGGAAGGCGTCAGCCAAGGCAATCTATCATAAACATTTGGGATGCAGGCCACGCACCCAAACAGAGCACATTGCAGAAGATGAGCGCAGCGACGCGGACTCCGAACCAAGCGCCGTTGGAGAATGAGTGGAGGACATTGACGCTCTTTGCGGAGGGTTCGTCGTCCTCGTCGTCCCTGTTGAGGACGACCTTGCCCATCGTCTTGGGGCGCTGCGTCTCGGGTACTACGATCTTGCTCGCGGCGATGGAGCCAGGAATGGACATGATGGATGATAGCAGCAGTTCGCGGCCCTCGAAGCCGAGTTGAACGTATGCGATGAAGACTGAGCCGGCGATCGTCGCAAAGCCCGACACGAGCACCTGGTGGAATTCCGAGTCGGTGAACTTGGCGACGTACGGACGCGTCAGGACGCAGTTCTCGCCCTGCCCAATGAACGGCGAGGCAGCAGCGACGACGGCCTCGGCGCCCGAGACAGCGAACGTCTTGTGGAAGAACCAGGCGAACTTCTTGATGCACCAGCCGAGGGCGCCGATGTAAAAGAGCATGGTGGCGAGCGCGACGAAGAAGATGATGCTGCTGAGCGTGTTGACGAAGAACTAAAGGGGTTGGAAAGGAGAGTGTCAGTGATTTCAAGTCCAACAGTTACGTCCGGCAAAAGAATGCACATAGTGGTTTTCCAAAAAGGCGGGAGACCAGAAAAAGGCGGCACCGCCGCTCTGGCCCTGCTCAAGGAGGTCAGTGGCTGCGGCACTGATCCAGTTGAACAGGCTGTACCCGGCGCCGGTCTTGTAGACAAGCAGGCCGAGGATCATCTGCAGGCCCAAGCCGAGGATGGTCGTGCGCGCCTGGACCGCACGGTGGTTGCTCGAAATGGCAAAGAGGCCGCCGTAGGTGAGGGCAATACCAACGAGGGCGATACCCCTGCGCTCGTACGTCGACGTCTCGGTCACCTTGACACCAAAGGCCGTGCCGAGAAAGAGCGCGAGGAGCGCGCCCCAGCCGAGCGCGAGGCGGCCGTTGTACGGGATGCGGAAGAACGGCTTGGACACGGCGGTACCCCAGACGGCCTCAATGGCGACGACAAAGGGGCGCTGAGGGATGTATTTGCTCTTGTGGAACAGGATGATCAGGATGAAGGCCCACGCCCAGAAAGTGGTGATGACCCATTTGTGCCGCGTCTCCTCGCGCACGACCGATGGGATCCAGATGCCGAGCAGAAGTGCGATCATCGCAAAGTCACGCACGACGACGGCGCCACGCGAGTGTAACAGGATGGATAGCTTCTCGCGGAAACTCGAGGTGTTGTGTACCGGGCGGCCAATCTCGGGCTCGAGCCAGTCGTCCTCGCCGGCGGCGTGCATGCGCTTCTCGCCGCCAGCGGGGCCGGCTTCTACATCGTACGCGGCATACTTGCCCGGCTCCTGCTCGGCGCCCGAGTTGGTGGAGCGTGCCGAACCTTGCGGCTTTTCTGATGTTATGGGCTCGTTCTCACGCGTCTCGTTGGGGAGCGGTGCGACGAACTCCTACAGGCAGCCAGGCAGGTGGTGCGACAGGGACAGCCACTGGGTCAGACACGGCACAGCCGGCGTGCACTCTTCCAAACACACGCTTACCTCGGGGAGATTGGGCACGATGGCCGACATGTCTGGCTTTTCTTTGCGTGGCCTTGAAACTTGGACTGTTGCAATACTCTGAAGCGCTTGCACCTGTGGCGATTGGAAAAGTAAGCGCGGAGGGAGGCGAAGGCGATGCAGGGAAGAAAATGAATGGGGATGATGATGGTGACGGCGACGACGCTGGAGAAGATGTGCAACGCAAAGGGAAGGCAGGGGGAGGACGCAGCCAAGCTGGTCGTGTGACGCAAATATAACCAGCAACCACAGCAGGAGGACCCACAAGGTGAACGAGCTTGCAAGCTCGATGCGGTCGGTGGTAAGATTGTGAAGTCGAGATTATGCGCCCAACTAGATTACTTTTTTTTTCTTTCCCCACCCTCCGGTGGGCCGCGGGAGCGAAGCTGCGGTGACCCGTCGATGCCGACACCGATCCGACGCCTGCCGCCTGGTAGCTCTCTTCCTTTCTTCCTTCCTTTGAAATGATGACCTTCCTTACCACCCACTAACCTGCGTTTCACTGCGAGTTCCACGGGTAATCATGAATGATAAGGGTACTCTTCCTATCGCAGGAAAGTCTCATCGCTCCCAGGTCCAAGTCTCTTTACTCCTTGCTGTGATGGCAGACTTGAGCCCTGCAGCGCGGCAGCCGGCGGCCCATACAGAAATAGAAGTCTGTGGCCAGTATGTACTTTCCCTGTATGTCACTTTATGGCGTGGCACTCCGCGCGGGCGCTCGCGCTTGGCGGGCAATGCTGCAGGAAAAATAGGCTCCAAACCTCTCCGCGAAATGCTCCAAAAGGCACCGTTTGGTATGCAGGAGTAGGAACTGGCAAGCGGTCCCAGGAACGGACTCACCACGCATTGGCGCAAGGAGAAGAGATACGAAAATTCGGGAGAGATAGCGCATGTTTGCACGGCTAGCAAAAATGCATTTTTAAAGAAAAGCAAAAAGAACGAGAACTCGCCATGCGCCGCCCTCCCATTCTGCCATGCGCAGGACGTTAAGTTCTCCAAAAGCGGGGGGCTACAGGGCACACCAAAGTCTGATCCGTAAAGAACCGCGTGGTGCGGGAAGCGGGTTACACGTTGCTGAGGACAGAGCAGAACACTCAACGAGATAGGCGGACATCAGGACTGCAGCGGTGCAGAAGGGCGCAAGGACGCCCTCATCGCCTCACATGTGTGTCTAATGACCTGACGCTTGCGGCTTGCTGGATGCTTGACATTTGACAGCTTGGATGTGGACTAAAATGTTCATGGTCAGAAAAGCAGCGTGTGTCACTCACGTGTCGCCCTGTGTAGCCTGTGTTAGTGGATACGTAGTAGGCACTTCATGGGAATGCGGAACATCTGGCAGCAGGTGGATACGAGTGAGCTGGATCGAAGCAGGGTCTACCTCGGATCTCGATGCGCCCTCAAGCAGATTGTACCTGCTGCCTGTGCCAATCTGTGTGCATACCTGTTACATAGGCCAAAGGGCGAAGGGCCTCCAAAAGCCATCGCCACCGCCAGATCCGGCATTCTTCTTTTCAATCAAATCCACCTAACACCTCTACAGTTGGCTGTGCTTGGCGTCTTGATTCATTGTATCCACCCGGCCGCCCTTCACCTCGTCACCACTCCTTCATCGCTTTATTCGCAAGTCAAACTTCCGTCGGTAATAATCAGTGATTTTCACTGTACGCCCCACACCTCGCCAACAAGTGTCCTCTCGTCAAGGTAATATGCCATGTACACCAGCCGGCGCATTCCTTTCCAGCCCCGGGGGGGGGTCGTTTCTGGTTGCTCGAAGGGAACGCTATCTAATCACGCTGGCCAAGGGGATCCATAGGAGTCCAGGTTCCAGTGGGCCCGGGTCGATAGCGCCACAATGGTCTACTCGCAACCTTTGGTGAGCCGGAAGGCGGGGAGGATTAAAGCAAACGTGAAAGAGCGGTCTCCCTCAGGTCACACACGACGTCTCCGAGGCGTGTGCTCGATACGATAAGCAAGGGATCACACGATGTCACGAGCGGCCTTCCACTGCTCCAGTGGTGCATGGATATATCTCGAAAGTTGAATGATCTTCATTGGCCTCCTCTAGTTTTTACGTTCCCGATCCTTCCCATTGTTTGTCTTCAGATGTCGGCCCCGCCCAGCGTCCAGCACTCAAGTGTTCACAGGCACTCGGCGTTGAGCCTTCCCTTTTCGACATGCGCATTTCGGCAACGTTGTCGGGCCTGACACTTGCGACCCCACGGCTACTCCCCCATGCATGTACACTTTAATGATCAGCAATATGTGTTGCAGCGTATATACAGCACAATTCGACAGAAGTTCCGCGCTGGTATAGTTGACGTACAGCAGCGCATTGTCTTTGCCCTGGCAAGTGGGCAGATTACCGTTGGCGGCGGTGCCGCAAGGCACAACGACGTTGATGGTGGTCGCGCGGGGTTTGGAGCAGGGCGTCTGCGCCAAGTAGACAATGTGGCCGACAACGGAGAGTACAGACCAGTCGCCGTGCCGTACATGTTGTTGAACAGGACGACGCTGATGTTGAGCAACGACTGTACGTTTCACAGTGCAGCATGTACACCCAGTGAGCGAGAGGAACAATGAACTGCACTGGCGCGCAGGGACAAGGGAATCACGGGGAACTGGTTGCAGAGCGTCGCATTCTTCTGGTCGTAGCATTGCGTCATCTTGTTACCGAAGTCGATCTGCTGGACGTACATCGTGCCGTACATGACGTTGCGCACGGTGCCTTTGCCACCGCAACCCTGTAGATGGCTGTCTAGCGCGGACGCCACGCCTGGCAACACCTCGGTACGCACGCCGTCGGTCGCGTTGGACACCTGTTGCTGTACACGTAGATGCCCGACACGATGTCGGTTTCGCCTTTGTACTGCCTAAGCTGAACCAGTGGAGAAAGGAAAATGGGCATTGTAAGTTCAGCTCCATGCTGGTTCGCCTACCTATACGAAAGGCAGGTGCTGACACCACTCACCGGCCCTACCGAGGTGCCGTGTGAGCCATTGTAGTACCTGTTTTGCAAGAGGAAGTTAGTCGAGTTGGGCTTGAAGCTGACGCAGTCGTCGCCGTTGTTGACGTTCCAGTCCTGGATGGTGCGGTCCTTGGAGCAGTACGTGTCGACTCCGTCATGGTTCTCGGCGAAGTTCTTGGACGTGCTGGTGCCCTCAATGTGCATGTCGGCAAAGACGACGTTGCTGGCATTGACGTTAAAGTAGTAGTACTGTGGCAAGTAACGCAGCGTCAGGTCCCGCAGCGTCGAGTCCTCTTGCCCATGGATGCCGAGCAGCATGGGTCGCAGTTTGCTGCTGTTGGACGCGTACAGGTCGTACCACGCCTTTCTGGTCCCGTTGGGCCTCACACTCTTGTTGGAAATGTAGATGTGCATGTCAGACCTGCCCAGCTTGAAGAAGGCCACCACATTTTGGAAGTCGAGCTTGAACCCATTCGACTGCCAGTAGTCGGTGTCCGTCGTGAACAAGATCATGTCGCGGATGTTTTGATATTCAACCGAGAGGCAAAGAGGCTGTCGGTCCTGTCGTCTCTGGGCGCCGGTGTACCTCACTACGCTCATCCAGATGGATGTTTCGCAAGAAGGTCAATTCCCATCCCCGTGCTGATGGTATACTTTTCATGCCTTTGAATACAACCTACCCACAATAGTGGCACTTCATCAGCGCTTGCAGGATGTTTGTCTTGTCGTCTCTCCCGCCTCCCTCGGGATTGGCGACTCTGCACTGCCGTCAGCATGCCGAGTGCGTAGGATAACCGTACGGTGGGTGCTTGGGGCTCGGCTGCACCATCGGAGCGGCGCTAGCGAGCGCAGTGACATCATCTGCAAGGGGATAGGCCGCTGTGTCGCTCCGGCTGACGAGGAGCGCGAGTCGGAGTCAACGAAGAACACATGATGTAACACTCAGAAGGGGTGAGCTGCAGAAAGAGCTTGTCCTAAAAGGAAATCGGATTAAACGTTGCCCATATGTGACATCATAGCCTCATCCTTTAAAATAGTCGACAGTTATGTCCAGCAAGAAAAGGCCCCAAGTGCAAGGTTCAAGGAGGACGGAGAGCGCTTGGCACGCGTGCTGGATGGTGGGCGCGGATCAGCATGTGCAACTTACCGTTGCTGCTGCCGTACATATTCATGTTTTGTTTGCGTCGGCAGTAACATTTATTCATTCCCTGTGGTAGTCTGGGATCAATATGGTCTCCACGAGACTCCAGAGTGAGTGTGTAACGGGGAGAGGACATGCTTATTTCAAGATGGATGAATCTAGACGGAGTGGCAAGCCGTTGATAGGAATGGCAGGCGAGCACTTTACAGTTATACAGCAGCACGTTTACTTTCCCCACTCTACCGTAAAAGTGGGAGGGGGCATGCTAAGCTCTGCCCGCGTTTTAGCTGCCTTGACCCGGTTCTCAAACGGCTGCAGATCCGGCAGTTGGCGCAACTCGGCATTTTATTCTTGTCTCGCCTTCCAACCTCGCCCCTGCTTTCCCAAATGTAGCGCGGAAACAGCGGCACAGCCCATCAAATACATGTATGCAGACAGCAGTCCCCAGAATTCAGAAAGATTCAAAATTTGGAGGTAATATCTCGCCACAAAGTTTAGGGCCTCCGCAATGATGACGTCTTGTCGGCTCATGTTCCAGGTCCATTAGAGGTCGTCGAATCAGATTCACCACTTCAAGATATGTAGTGGACTTGCAGACCATGATCTTGACCATGCTCATCACTTGCGTGCCGGCCGTCGACTCACCTTTCATCGCAGGTGTCGGCTGCAGATCGCGTCCTGATGGACCGACTTTTAGGAACCCCTGAGAGCTCGTGCGGTTGCGATGAATGTCTGGAGATGTGAGTATAATGGGGACGGTGGATGATGCCTGTGTCCGATGACGCTATTGCTCATAGCAGTCACCCTCCCTGTAATAAATATTATGTCGCAATGTTAATAATATTGCTTGCCGTGCAATGGGCAATGAGAGAGAGAGAGCCCCATTGCTTGGCATTGTTGGCGGCGCATCAGGTAAACCATGTGTACCAGGCTACGGCGCGTCACCTCCCGTGTGATTTGAACCTGGCCTGTCATTATGTTTAGCTGATGAGAGCCATGAAAGCTCCTCCGCGCGGCCAGCTCTTTCCCCTTTCGGCCTTCGTCGACAGTACATAACCTCGTCCTTTCATGGCACGGCTAGCATAGTCTGCAGACTTCAATGGAACCGTGTGGCCTCAAATGGAAACGGCCGCCACCTTGACCAGAGTGACATCACCACGATCTCACACGCCGTCCAGACCGCCATTTGCTACAAAATGGCAGGCAGCAACATTGCATAAGCATGTCCTCAGAACGATACTCCCTTTTTCACTCGTCTATGGCACCCTGCTCGCCGCACAGCTTGCGCCAACCCAGTGCAGAACGTATGCTTTCCCCTTCCTCGCTCCCGACTCGGACCATCTCGCCGCAGAAGCAGCCAGCCGCTCCGACTCCGCTAGCAGCTCCGCAGCATACGTTGCACAAGAGCCCAATATTCATGCCCCAGCCTCTGGCATTTGGACGCTGGGCAGTTCGATCTCCCACTCCGTCGACCTTCCCTTCCCGCTGCAAGTCCCGTCGAACGGCACGATCGGTTTTGGCAAAGGGACCAACTCTCAAGGAGGAAAGGAGGCGTATGGTGTTCAGGCATCGCTGCAGTGGTGGTTGTCCAATCAGAATGGCAGCGTGCAGGTTTCAGCCAGGTTCCCGAGCGTCGTACATCTTGACCTTATCGAAGCTGGCGTCATCGATGACCCTAACAGTGAGTCAAGCCCTTGGGCAAAAGTATCATGAACGTGGCTCACGCTGACTGAAGGCTCGTTGCGACGACGTATCCGCCAAGCAGTCGGATTGAATGAGGGGACCTCGCGATGGATCATCGATGATACCTGGACGTACACAGCCAATCTCTCACCTCTGCTTAGCCGAGTCGCATCCAACGCGTCAGGCACGTCCTATTCGGACTATCTACTGTACTTTCAAGGCCTCGACACGGTCGCGAACGTCGCGCTGGGCGGTAAAAATGTCGGGAACACCAGCAACATGTTCCGAGAATGGGTCTTCAATGTCACCGATGTGCTTACCCCTTTACTCGGCTCCATGTCCAGCTCCACTGCCAGCTCAAAGGCAAGGGCTGGGGCCAACGAGAACCTCACGCTGACGTTCTCCTCTGCGGCAGATTATGCGGAAAGGCAAAGCAGGAACGAGCCGTACTACCCAACGCAGCTGACCAGTCCTATGGCACCAGTCATCGACGACTACGAGTACCCATTCCGCAACTTTATCCGCAAAGCGTCAAGCGACTTTGGGTGGGACTGGGGCCCAGCTTACGTTCCCACCGGTGCGCACAAGCCTGCATGGCTCATCGCGCTTAGTAACGCGCCGTCTGCGGAAAGCGCTGCAGCTACAGATGGATCTGGATCAGAGGCAGACACAAACGTGGCCAGCTTAAGCAGCACCTCAATACGCCGAACCTCGATCGTCGGCAAGTCCTTGAATCTATTCGTGCAGGGCACATCGATCGACATCACACGCAAGGGTCAAGTCAACAACCTGCCACCGGACCAGACGGCGCCGTGGGTGGTCAACGTGACACACTCTCTCTGGTCAGCCAGAGCGATTCCTAATGCGACTATGTCTCTCGCCTTGGTCGGCACGCCGCACGGCGCGTCGGAGCTGCAGCTGAGCGCGCCCGTGCAGGCCGGCTACAACGACGTGCTCAGCGCGAGCTTCGAGGTACTCAGCAATGGGACGGACGCGCCGCAGCTGTGGTGGCCAAAGACATTTGGTGAACCCAAGCTGTATGACCTGCAGCTCAGACTTGCAGATGCAGTCTGGACGAAGCGGACCGGCTTCAGGACTGTTCTCGTCAATCAGGAACCTGTCTCGGACGAAGACGTCGCCAAGGGTACCCGTCCCGGAAACTACTGGCATATTGAACTCAACGGCCAGCGTATCTACAGTACGTTCCTTCCAATGACACGTTTCACACTGCATCTTTCGCACGCTCATACCCCTGCTCTGTTGCATCTGCAGCACAAGGCGTGAACATAATTCCCGCCGACGTGTTCCTCCCCCGCATCTCGGGCGATGTGCTGAGCCACACCATCAGCAGCGCCATCGCCGCCGGGCAGAACCTTCTCCGGGTCTGGGGCGGCGGTACGTACCAGCCAGCGCAATTCTATGATCTCGCGGACGAGATGGGCATCCTCACGTGGAGCGAGACCACCTTTGCTTGCGCCGCAGCGTACCCGACATACGACGCCATGATTGGGACGATCAGGGAGGAGGTCAAGCAGAATGTCAGGAACCTCAATCGCCATCCGTCCATGACACACTGGGCTGGTAACAACGTGAGTGCACGATCCGTCAGCATTTGGACGGCGCGTTTGCTGATGCCCATTCTTTGACGCTCTGTAGGAGGGAGAAAACATGATGCTCGCCGTCAAGGAGACCTTACCCAATGGGACAGTCTATGCTAACCAGTACGATTACCTCTTCGACGATGTCATCCTGAACTCTGTTCGCCAAAACTCCAGGTCACTCTCGTACCTTCCGTCCAGTACAGGTGCAGGTTACATCTCTCTCGATCCATACGTCCCGCGCTACCGCAATGCCACACCGGGAGAATTATACGGGGACGCAGAACACTACCTGTACAGCGCAGTACATGCATTGGATCTCGACACCTACCCTATCTCTCGGTGAGTGAGAGCAAGGTATGCCCGGCAAATGCTGATAGAGTGACGCTGTCTATTCTTCCAGTTTCGTAAATGAATTCGGCATGCACTCCATGCCTTCGATCTACACCATTGACAATGTAGTCGTCTCGCCCAACGATTACACATTTAACAGTACGGTTATGCGAGCTCATGACAAACACTCGCCAGCCGGTAACTTGACCTACCCCTTCCCCGCTGACGACGGACAGAATCAGATGACTGACGGCGCCAAAATGTACTTCAAGACGCCCGCAGTGAACGCGACAGGCAACCTCCGCGCCAATCTCGCGGCCTGGTCGTATGCCACACAGCAGTACCAGGCTATGCTCACCGGCCAGCAAATCCTGTACTACCGACTCGGCGCCAGCAGACCGGAGAACAACCTCGGCGTCGCGTACTGGCAGCTCAACTCGATCTGGCAAGGTTCCGACTGGGGGAGCATCGAGTGGGGTGGCCGATGGAAGGTCATGCATTTCATGGCGGCGCGTTACCAAGATCACGTCGTCGGTTATCCAATGTACGCGCCGCAGAATGAGACGCTTACGATCTACGCGCTCTCGGACGACTTTGGCCTCGTGAATGGTACCGCAGCCTGGATATGGTACGACTACAGTGGCAAGAACCTTGGTGGCAACTCGACCTCTTTCTCTGTGAGTGGGATCAATGCCACCGCGATATACAGTGCCACAGGCGCGCAGAATATTCTGCCTGCCGAGGCGTCGGCCGACAACGCCTACCTCCACCTCCAACTCAACGGTACACGCAGTGATGGCTCGCCATTCACGAATGAGCATTTCTGGCCATTCGCACACTCGGTCGCAAACGCTCCTCTTCAAGATCCACAAGTGCAAGTGTCCAAGAATGGAAGTGCGTCTGCAGATGGCTCACAGGTCTTCGATGTCAAGGCGGCAGGCTCCGGCGTTGCTGCATTCTTGTCCCTTGAGCACCCAGAGGGTGTCATTGGCTGGTTTGCGGACACCAAGTCGGGCCGGCCGATGAACAACATTTTCCTTCGGCCGGGAGAGCAGCGATCATTCAAGTTTGTCCTTCAATTCGATCGCACCAATGGTTCTTGGGCGGATAACGTCGTTGCTCGCTCCATCTTTGTCCCCTCATCATAGGCGAGCCAATTCAAATATTCCTATTCTGCTTCTTACGCACCGTACGTGAACAAACGCCGCAATATCCTTACTGTCTTTGGTGTGAGCCAGGCGGCGAGTGGCAATCGAACAGGCAGCAACGCCTGGCGGGGAAGGTGCTGGATGTTACTACTGTACACGGGATCTTCAAGCGTTGCACACCACGTACCTTGACAAGTAGCCATGCTGCGACAGCATCTCTAATTTGTCCAAACTCGAGGTCATTCGCATGCTTTGCAATTGACCCTTTCCATGCATCTCCAGCCCATTTGCGGACGTTACTACTTGCGTCAGGGTCGTTCGCGATCTCAGCTTCTCCATCCCTCGCCTGTTGGAGCCCGGCACTGGCAGCTTTGAGCCCTTCGTTCATGTCGTCCTTGCCCGTAAGCTTCTGACCGATAGAGCGACCGCCGCCGTACACAGCTTTTCCGCCTGCCCACCCTACAGAGACACTGGCGCGTGCAGCAGCTCCTAGGCAATCTTCGACCGTTCGCTGCTTGGACTTCTTTCGCACCTTCTGAACCTCTGCGTCGCCGTCAGTAGCCAAGCTCTCTTTCCCCCTGTTCCAGCCCAAAATGGGAATCCAGTCAGGTACTGGCCTGGAAAGAATGTATGCTGCTTGAGGACCCGCTAGCAAGGTGGTTGTGAGGCCTGTCTGGTGCAAAACAAAGTAAACAGGTGGAACCAAGGCCCATGCCAGGCCCACGTGGATGAGGCCGAAGGTGGTTAGATGGATGAAAGGCCTCTGCTTTACCGCCACGAAGCCTCGCAGTTCCGCTTCACTGGCTGCTTTTCCTACTGAAGAGGTGCTATATACCCGGTTTCGAAGTCTTCCGTATGTCTGCCATTGCCACGCGAGAACCGGCAGCATGTTGACCTTCAATACGGACGACTCAAGAGGCGAGTGCCCGTGAGAAGGATTTCGCATCTTCCGCACAACTTCTTGATCCATCATGCAAAACCACCCATCTGAGGTCGACGACGGCAAGCGACAGCATATGGCTCACCGCAATGCCACTTAAAAATACATCCATCAATCGAATACCTCTATTGGTTGGTCCAGTCGAGACTCGAGAAAGGAAATTAGTAGAACGTCGACCAACTATGCACTCATGGACATTCGCTCGCCTTAATTTCCACTCTTGGCAGGGGCCCAGCCCGTACACATCCAAGGTACTTGCTACAACTTGCAAAGGTCCTGCTTCCGCCTGCAGGGTGCGGGAGGACTAATTATATGGTTCAAGTTATCCAGACTACGCAGAACGTGCATCCGCACCTTGCGCAACTGAGATCTGTGCACTGATGCGAGTCTGATGAGGAGACCCGAACTAGCTTCTTCCCCAAACCTTTGTCGAGGCCACGATGCGTCATGCGCGTCATGCATTCATTGATCCTTGATCCGCCTTTATCGGTCCGTTAATATCTTGTTCTGACGGTTTCTGACTCGAATTAGATCTGGAAGGCTTAAAGCAGTGTCTGCGCTAGCTCGAGGCGATGTCATCATGGAGGATGGAACACACACGCTGTTCAAGCACAAGGCGTAGCGCAGGGCAGCAGCGCGTACCGCTGACGCTCACCGCTTAATCGCTGCTCACGTCACAACGAATCTCGATGAAAAGTTGAAGCCTTGAACTAGTCCGTCGCCAGACGGAAGAGAGCTGCGCATCAATCGGCGAAATAAGGGTGACCAGGCTTTCCTTGGGCGGTGAACTGTCTACGGTGTTGAACGCCGAGCTTCTGAAAGGTGACACGGCTAACGCCAATGGTGTATTGGCGGACAAGATCATGTTATTATAATATTGGGATTACAATTAGGTCTGGCGACCCGCAGGCTCCTGCAAGTTGCAACAGATCGCAATGCTGTTGCAATAGATCACAACTGTCGCAACACGCAGCACTCACGACAGAAAACATTGAACCCAGCGGTCAGCCGCGAATCACGATCAGGACAGGAACAATGCTCGAATTGCAATTGTGGATCCAGTTTCAGAATACACAAATCCACATAAGGCTGAATGTTCTATGCAAGAGCAGAGCCTCCACCACAGCATATCCCTGCTGACCCGCTCCACATGCATTCGCACTATCGCAGACCGCAGAGCATCCGCCTTCGAGGTCCTCCAGTCTCGTGCTGCACTCACTGACAACCATTTCCTTTTTAAATCAATATTGAATATTAAAGAATACTAAGATTGTAACATGGGGAAAAGATCAACGACCAACGTAATCAATCTTGTTTCATATTGAAAACGAAACAGAGAATCTTGCGCTGGCGCAGGCTAAGCCTGGAACGTGATACGCCGCGTAACCAACGCTGCTCACGCTGCACTTGCCACGTGAGAATGACCATACCATTTCACAATCAGTTGCAGGGGTAGAAAGTGTTCTACAGTACGTAGTCCTGTTACAGCGAAGTGCTGACAGAAGAATCATATATTAGTATGTGTGAGACATTAGACATAGGATACATGAAGTAGATGAAATTCGAAAATTGCGCTAGGTCGAGATACCTCAAGAACCGTGAGTGCTTTTTTGCAATCGGTCCCACATAGCCGGCTTCTGCAGGCTTGTGCCGGATTCCATCATTCCCGCCTGCCACCAGCTGCATAGAGGAATGTAGTATGTACATAGCTCGTACGCGTTTTGTTGCCACTACAAGCAAGAACAGGTTGCAGTAGGACGCAAATCGAATTGGCACATTTGCATCTCGCAACTCAATTGCACGAGGCAATCCAGTACGTCGCAGTAGGAGCATTCTGAATGTGATTGAGCATGGTCAATGCGTTCCGCGGATATTTACAAGAGACTCAAATATTCAATGTGCCCATGACGATGTAAAATACTATATACAGCCAAGCCCCTTTCAGAAAGTTCGAGTCTCGATGGACTTGTAATGTTAACAATTCGCGCAACCTTGATGCGAATTCAGGATTATGACCTTCAATATTCACAGTATGTGTTGCCAATGCCAGGTCTGCAATTTGATGCCCAAGGCTCAATGATGAAACGGAAGCGTCGATCTGTAAGATGTACATACACAACCGTAAAATAAATGCCAGTCTGTATGTACCCAGCGATAAAAGACCAGCCTGCATCGGGCCTGTCGGTCGAGAATCGAGATACGTAGGTTTTATTCAGAATCCCGTCGAGACCGGAGACAGCTCTCAAGTCTTGAGCGTCGAAAGTCGATCTACGTCGACGTGCTTCCTGATCCAAGAAAGTCGGGATTCAAAAGGTCGTCGTATCCTGTGAAACACTTCATGCGAAATCTGAAACCTGTGTCCTACAAGGTGGGGTCTGGAAAGCTTGTGAAATAAATACATAGTTGCACGCGAGTGAGAAAGGTACCTTTCAGCTTCCAGACATTAAACATTCAGATGCTCCAAATTTCAGACTGGCAGATTTCATGAGAATTTCATCAGCTGAGGAAAGTAGCAGAAATGGAGAAGGTTCTGTGCTCACTTGGAGCAGCGCACTTGTGGGGCCAAACCTGTAATTGGAGACAAGGGTCCAAGGGGCCCGCACCGGTTGCCTCATCGTGAATTTGTCTCTTCATCTCATCGACTGTCTCGATGTATGTACATTTACGTGTATATGGTGTAAATTGCAGGCACTGGACAGTGGGCCAGACCTTCTCGCAGATGTTTTCAATTCGCAAGTTCTGACAAGTTTGAAGCGGGGAAGCAGTTAGCGAAGGGATTTGGACGTGTGACGAGACTGGACCCTGCGGTGCAGGTATTGGCCCCTCTCAGCTGCACACAGGCACACATTATACACATTCGCCCAGACTGTCTCAGAGCCACCCGAGAAGCGGAGACCCAAAAATTCACTGAGATTAACTAGACCACGTCAGCCAGCAAGCAGCAGGATTCACGTTTCACTGTTCACCGCCACCGTCACCTTTGAAATAACCCATGGTAAGCGTAGACAAAATGCATATTGCTTCATCCCAGCAGTTGCGATGGCACTTTCCCCAAGAGAATATGGACGCTTAGACGCAGTGAAGCACGTTGATTTACTAATTATAAGATTGCAGAACGCTCAACGCAGGACCGTGGACGGCCCGAGCCGCTGAAAACACTGGAATAGCCCGCTGAGAGTCTGGATGAACACTGATCCAAAAGAGCAGATCCGTCGCCCGAATTCAGTATTATATGCAGTATATGGTGTGCAGCAAATAATAAAATAGTTCTGGGGGCAGGTTATATCTGTCAAAGACTTGCCTAACCAATTTTAAGCAGTACTTGCCAGTTGGTGGTGGCTGACTGGCTGTGGCAGGTATGAAGTTGCAGGTGTATTGCCAGAGTGCCGAATGCCGGGAGATGCCACCTACTCAAATATTTAGCACGTAAATTACAGAAGAAAGCTTGGAAACTTGTGTTTCGCGCGAAGACCCGAACGCGACAAACCGTTCCTTGCGGAGTATAGTCGCTTTTGGTTGATTTGACAGCAAATGCTGCTCCGGCGTCACGTGTTGTTAAATTTTGTAAATAAAAAAAATAAAAAATTGAAACTACGAAAAGCGGATCCACTTTTCGTTTGTACGTATCGGTGCAGATGACCGAAAAGTCCCATTCCCACGGAAAAGGAACCAGGGCTGGGGATCTCGCTTGCAACGCCTATGTTACCTACCAACCCGGTAAGTGGCACGGATGCGCAATCGCATTTTTCTCGCCTTTCGGCTTTTCGTTGACAAGATCTGGCCCCACCACGTTACACAAAACTGTCGAGGGGAAGCGCTTAATATGTAGTCAAGCTCACAATGGCACACAGGGAGGGAACAGCTCACGCTCAACCGCCACCTGTTGGAGGCAGTGAGGCTGCTTCTGTGAGCCATGAGCAATGAGAACGATGCCGACGCCGCACTGTCACTCGCACAGCACTCGCGGCTGCACCAGGCTGCACTTCGGCTCTAATTTCCCTGTTGCAAGACGCAGCATTTCAATTTCTGGTAAGACGCCAACGTGCCGAAGGTACCAAGCGCGATGTGATTCTTGAAGCTTGGTAGCAGTTTGAGAGTCTGGGAAATTCGGGCTGGCCACTCGTCTCCAATGTTTCAGATAATCGCTAATGGAAACAGGTATCTTACTCTTTGACCTGGCTGGTGACAGAGCAGATGGCTATAGCCTGTAAGAGCCGAACCCACAAGTGTTTGAACTTACCTTGATCCCTCAACTTGTTCGTCCTCGATGTCTACAGGAGGAATCTGCCCTCTGGCTCACACTGTAACAACACTGGCTATCGAAATCACCTCCATCGCTACAACACGAACTGAAGCTACTACTCTCCATGGCCGATTTTCCTCCAGGCTTCAGGCTGCTCCAGACAATCGGACTTTAGACCTCCAGACAAAGTGCTGCGTGCTCCCAGTCCTCGTCGCACTCTTTCCATAGCTTTTGGTACGCAACAAAAGTGCTCCCCCGGATCATCTATCGACTGCAAACGAGATTCAATCAACGGCTTGCAAAGTCTCAGTCTTTCCAGCGCTATTCGTGCGCAGTTGATTGCACCTCTGTAACCCCCACGGTGCAGTGTATTTGCTTGGACTCTTCAGGGTGAGCCCATGGGCCGGACGCTCCTTGCTCTTTCTGGCAACGCAGTTCGACCGCAGGTGTCCTCTCTGCAAGCTCATAATCAAGCATCAAGCTATTAAATATTAAGACGGTCAAGCGCCCATTATGACGGCTACCGTCGGTTGGCAATGCTCTTTCCATCATTGATAAACATCAGACACGGCCCCGCTCGTTTCTTCCCCGATGCTTCCTAGACGCCACACAAGGCGGCAAGCAATGTCACTGACTTTGTCCTGATATCAAGTATTTTGCCATTTCCAATTTTCTTGCCTGACTGCGGATGTCCGTGGCTACACTTCCCAGCGAACCAGTTCCTAAAGCAGCGCCCCGTCACAATTGACACACGAAGTGTGTCAGGCTCTGCTCGCATAGCGTCCTTGTCCGCAAAAGGCTGGGCGGGACGGGGTGCGATGGCCAAGCAGGCGACCGCTCTCCCTCAGTCAACCAACCAGCAACTGATCTCAGCAGAGCGCTCATCAGCGAACGGCGAAGCGTCCACCATGATCAGACAAACGCCATCAAAAGCAACAGAGCTTGGTACAATGTCGAGAAAACGCAAGGGTCCCACGCCAGAGCTTTTTGTACGACCCTCGCCTGCCCAACGCTCGCCTGTTCTGTTCAGACTTGAGCGAGGTGAACAGCTTCAGGAGCCGCGTCTCCGTTCTTCGTTCTCCCAACCATGGAAGGGATTGCCGGGACTTGGATCCGTCCTGGGCGAGACAATTCACCATGGTGCTAACAAAGGCACCTGTGACATTCCCAACACCACAGTTCACCCAACTGGCTTTGTCGGGAGGCGCCTGTCAGCTTGGGACTCTTCCCAGCGGCTCGGCGCACATCCGGGAAGGGGACCAGCCGGCACTTCAGAGTCGGCAGCCGGCCTCGGTTTCCTACCGTCGTATGACAGACCTCGGTCCATTACCCTGCCACAGGAACGTCCGTATTGGCAAACGCAAACTCCCCATCTACCACCATACGGAGGCTTTCCGCCGCCACCGCCCAATTTTGCCTCAAGGCATTCGCCACCCGCTGGTCACGCTCAATCAGCAGGTCCTTCGTTTGAGCGACGCATCCCATCCATTGCCACCGCCAAGTTGCCTGGTATACGCGGCGATGACCGTCAAATCGCATCTACATCCACCGATTCAGACCATGACGAGGCCAGACCTGTCTCCAGTGGTCTGTCGCAGCAAGCCGGCGAGACGGTGACTCCTCTGTCAGGGGTTCAGTATGATACATTCGGTCAGCCGCCGATGCACCCGTCGCTCGCCGGTGTTCCAGGCTCGGGCTCAGGCACTGGCAGCAAGCAGCAGCCGAGTTTTGTGTGCAAGCTTTATACGTGAGTTCGCTGGGTTAATGCACTCCACGCCGTTCTTCATTTGGAATCTGACCCATTTCCCCTGCAGGATTCTTAAAGATGAGCAGATTCAGCATATGATCCAATGGGTGGCGAGCGGTACAGCGTTCCGCGTGTCCAGCCCGACTGAATTTTCCCGCATCGTACTGCCCACCTACTTCAAGCATGCCAATTGGCAGTCCTTTGTCCGGCAGCTCAACATATACGGCTTTCACAAGGTCACTCCCGCAGCGTCAATATCACCGGAAGAGAGTGCAGGCCAGGTTTGGGAATTCCGACACCCGAGCTTTCGACGCGGTGAGGTGCAGTTGTTGAGCCGGATCAAGCGAAGGGGCTCACGGCAGCAAAGGCAGCTATCCCAAATCACCCGAGAGGACTCACCCGATTCACCTGTCGAAAACTTCCGCGTCAATCCTGTCCCTGCTGTTCAAGAGAGCAAAGTGCGGGCTCCTGGAGATATCCAGGGTGCTCCCACCCTTGCAGTCCACCCTGCAACTGCCGAAGGCAGCTTTGGAAGTAGCGGATATACAGACGATGCCGGATCTGTAGCTGCCAACTTTTTGATGCCTGCACTCGAACAGCGCCCGTGCCTAGACAACCACCATCGCAGCGAGTCGCACCGAGGATACCCATATTACACCGCTCACGACTATAGTGGTGGAGCGCCGCGCTCAGGGCTGGTTGCTGCAAGCTCTCCACCTGCTGGCGCGCCAGCTGGCTTGCACTACAAGCAGTCCCATCGCACCGACATGCGAATCGAAGATCTGTCAGACCGTATCGACGCCATTATCCGTCACTCGGCCTACCTCGAATCCGAGCTCCGCAATGTCAGCGATCAGCTGAGCACCTCGCGAATGCATGAAAAGCTCGTCCAACAACACTGTGTGCACGCATTGGAGAAGCTCGGCCGCATCTGTGAAAGCTTGCACACCAGGCAGCACCACAAAAAACAGCAGTCGTTGCAATTGGAGCAGCAGCAGCAGCACCCCCCGTCATCTGGTAACTGGGATGCGCAAGCCTTACATCAGGAACAAGAGTTCAGACTGCGTTCGGATCTGCTCAGTGCGATCCATCACGAGTTGGATATGATCCACTCGCTTTCCGAGGGACACCATCGCTTTAAGGATGACCCGCAACGAAAGTCACATTTACCGCCTCAGCCTGCATTATAATTAGGGCATGATCGACAGTACCCCCAGCCGCATCGGACTGTGGGTGGCCACTGTCCGACTGGCTCATCACTCCCTGCCTGCCACCTTTACAACGCATTGCTCCTCCTCACGCCACCTCTACACAAACAGGTACTGCCGCAATCCCTCTCCGTCCGATCGTTGTATTTGCACAAGTACTGAAGTAAGATTGAATCGAGCATTCAGTAAGGAATTTCGTTGAGACCGGCTGTGCTTAGTGCTACATTTGTAATAATAGAAAGGGTCTTTTGAGCCTGCAGCCGTCTTATGCCCGCATGCCCTCCGACCCTGTTCCGCCCCAAGCAGATGACTCCATATTGTCCATCCAAGTCACCATTTTAACTACGCTACCATCTCCATTCAAACAACGTAGAGGTGTTCTCTAGCATGCATAAAGTGCTTACAACGATGGCTATTCGCTTTCCCAATACCGCACTGCTACGCCGCACGGCGGCCGAGCTCCCGTCGCTGATGCTAGCAGCGTCTGGGTCCGCAGATCCATCCGCCCACACCGCGCGCCACTTTGCTCTCTCCGCTCAATTACAGCGTTCCACTGAGCCGATCATGTTGTCCTCTTCGCTCCGGGCTTCGAGATCAAGAGCACATAGGCTTGTATGTCAACAATGCGGCTGGCTACAAGCGCCTGCGAGTGCACAAATCTCGAAAGCGGACAACGGCAGCCGGCTAAGCTTCATCACCCGCTCGCGCCCATTTGCGTCATCCGCCACATCCTGGAAGCCGCATGCTTCGTCTGCCAATGCAGCTCCTACAGTAACAGTCAATAGTTCATCGCAACAGCCGTATATCGCCATCAACCCCTTGTCGTCAGGGTCAGAGGTCTTCCCCTTGTCCATACCGCTCAGAGCAAACGACATTAATCTACCAACGGAGGCATCCGTGGACGCTGGCGCGTCATCATTAAGAGCCAGCACAGACAAGACGTCGCCTGCGTGTGCTACGCTATCGCCGAGCAGTCCAAGTGCTCCAAAGTCTCAGCAGAGCCCATCTCAGCAGCAGAGGGCAGAGGAAGCCAAGGCTGCTGCAAAAGGAGCAGCAAAAACGTCAATATCGCCTTCAGAGAGCTTCAGCCGTAGAGGGGGCGCAGCCTTCCGGGCAAAGAAGGCTGCACTGAGCATTACGGAGCAAGCCGTTGTAAGGTTACGCGCGCTCTCCGAGTCGCCCTCAGGGCCCAAGCTGATCCGCATTGGCGTGCGCAACAAAGGATGCGCCGGCATGAGCTACCACCTGGAATATGTCTCTCCAGAGCAAGCGGGCAAGTTCGATGAGAAAGTCGAACAGGATGGCGTCCAGGTACTGATCGACAGCAAGGCGCTGTTCAGTATCATTGGAAGCGAGATGGACTGGAAGGATAACAAGCTGTAAGCCCTTGCCTCTGGCCGTGACATGAACGCTGCTTTGAAGCTAATGCTCGCTTGCCACACATGCTCGCAGTTCCTCAAAGTTCATCTTCAACAATCCCAACGTCAAGGAAGCCTGTGGCTGCGGAGAATCCTTTTTGACATAGAATAAACGACACAACGAGCCCATGCGGCGACACATTGCTACATAAGCGTTGTCTAATTGATGACCCTGTGTGCTGGATTCTGTATGCTACAATTTGAACGTTTGCAACCTGCCATCTTGCTCCGAAGCTGACTCATCGCACGAGGTATACCTCATCGCCTCTGACGTTTGGCGCTTACCTCTGCGTTCAGAGTCGCAGCCGCGCCATCCGGCTGTCGCGGCCGCTTTGGCTTCTTCTTCTTCGGCATCTGCGTCTCTTCATCATCCGACTCGAGCCTGCTGAGGTCCATATCCTCTCCGCCCTTTCCGGGCGTCACGATGAAATTGCGCAGCATCTCTTCATCGAAAGGCACGATGCGGTGAATCGTAGTTTCGGGTTTGAAGATGATGTTGCGCATGGTGTGATCCGGCATGTTGTCTTTCTCCCGAGAGCGATATTTGGATGAAGACGGCGGCTTGGGCTTGACTTTACCCGGCAAGTCCTCGACAAAGTGTGCCCAGCTGCGCGGAGGCTTCGGAGGATCCGCCTTGTTTGCACTTACGCCAGTGCCCCTGTTTCTGGTACTTGCAGACGCGTCACCCAAAATGCTGCTGCTGCTGCCTACCATAGGTGTACCTGCTGCAGTTGCAAGGGGCGTAGGCCGGGGGGAAGGACCGAAGTTCGGTCCGGATGCCCCCGCCGCTGGAGCTGTCTTTTGTGCGGATATGGACGAGATGGAACCGAATGCAGCTTGAGGGGACGAGCCGACAATCGTCCGGGTGGCCGCACTGGGAGAGCCTGCCACCCCTGCTAATGGCTGTACAACCGTGCCTGCAGGTGTGGGTCTGGGAGTCAGAACGGCTGTGCCTGCTGGACTATTCATAGCTCCTGCTGAGCGAGAACCCGATTGTCCTGCCCCAGCCCCAGCACTTGCACCGGAAGCTGCGCCTGCACCTACGGCCTGATCCTTGCCGGCTGACGGCTCCAGCGGCGGCCTTTCCTTGATGTAAGGTCTGACAGCTTCATTATAGATGGCTTGTAATCCGAATATAGAGATCAAGTCGTGTGCTGCGTTCAAAAGGCGCGAAGGTGGTAACAACTCTGAAGGCGTTGGAAGGTAGAGCGGCGGCAATTGAGGCGGCTCGGACGGTACAGATGAAGGCCCTGCCTCTGTCCTCTCGCTAGCCTGCGATGCAGAAGACGCCATCCTGGCAGTCTTGGGCGTTTGTAATGAAGACAAGTGAGAGAGTTTCGGGATTTCTTGCAAGAGCAGGCGGGGCGGCAATCAGACCACGGATGGTGCAGCAGGCTCGGTTCAGGACCGGAGCACGCACTGCGACATCGTTTCCTGGCCACCGAACGAGATTGGGCTTCGAGCGGGGTATTGGGCCATGCCCAAGTCTACCATCAGTTAGCTAGTCAACATGAACACGTCTCGGGGGTCGCGTCAGACGTCAATGGTGATTGTAAAGGCTGCAACTCAACCACCCTTGGCATCACCCGAGACGCGTTGGCTGGTGACGGAAAAGGCCAGCGGAACGCTGAACACACCATCGAAGCTCATCATCGCCTCATTCCAAGGTCAGGGTCATGGGTGCAGTGCATGTTCCAGACTGCAGGTTCAAGATACCAGGCTCGATCGTCAGGCATCTCACCTCTGCAGAAACAACGCCCTTAGGCCAAGCGAGCGATGGCACTTAGTCGTAGGGGAATACGCGTCGCACAACCGTCTGATTGGTATACTTTTGAATATGCTTCGTCTTTATACGTACACCCCTACAGCACAGAACAATGCAATAACACCGAAGCCAATAGAGACGCTTGCAGTCAACGCGACGCCGATCTCCTGCCCGCTTAGTGACCGCTTTGGTAGTCTGCAGTGGGAACATATTAATTTCTGTCCGCCACTTATGCCATGCGGCTCCTACTCACGTTGTAAAGTAGAAGGCAAGGAGAAATGATGCAGCAAGGAGCACAAATGCAATATGTGGTAGTAACTGAGTCGGTACGCTGGCCGCAAAAGGACTTGATGCCTTGTGCAGCTCCTGTGAGAAAACACGTGGATGGTGTCCATGCATCAGCGTTGACAATGATGAACAGCGTCCACTGAGAGGCGCAGCGTCGGCTCGCGCAAACCAGATGACTCACAGCTGCCGGCAGATAGTAGGCGTCCATTCCTCTCACCTGCGCCGTGTGTTTAAGGTGGAACTTCAGTGACTACTCTAGCATGCTAATCTCATCTCGCCGTAAATTGTTCATGGTATATTAGCCAAGTCGTCGTGACGACTCGTGAAGCTCGCACGGCTGCAGTGGATCACCATGAAGCATGGGTGGCGTGGAAGGTGTTGCGTGGATTTACAGCAAATATACACGTAAACACTGCCTGTGTCCTCTCACCGTCTTTGCTGGAACTTGGAAGCCGTCGACTTCCGAGTGAATCCATCGACGAGAGGTGGGCAGGCTCCAACATCGACCACAGCAGCCCCTTCTTGATCATCGTTCACCATCCATTTCGCATGAGACTAAAGCCTTTCCCTTCAGTGCCCAAGCACCGGTACAGATCTTCCAGCATGCTCGCCCCCATAGCACGTTCGTCTCTCCTTCGGTCTGCCGCTCGCAGTGCGGCCGCTACCCGCGCAGCGCCGCTTCCTTCCAGTTTTGCGGTCGCGCGTCGTGGGTACGCTGAGGCGGTTAGCGACAAGCTCCAGCTGAGTTTTATCCTTCCTCACTCTGTGCGTGCTTCTGTACGGTATTGCGAGAGATGCAGGAACCCCTCGGGCTAACTGTCACTTCGATTGTGTTTCGTCTTTCCAGGCTATTTACTCAAACCAAGAAGTGACGCAGGTCAACGCCTGCACCGCTTCGGGTGACATGGGTATTCTCTCCGCACACGTCCCCTCGGTCGAGTCTCTCAAGCCCGGTCTCCTCGAGGTCATCGAGAGCAGCGGAAGCAAGAAGTTCTTCGGTGAGTGTGAGATGGCTCGGGATGCCTTTTATGATCAGAAAGCTGTTCGGTTGAGCAAACTAGAATTTGGAAGGAAGAGGATTCGCTGCGAGAAGATTCCCTCTTCAATCGTGCGAGACGAATGACTGACCGTCTTTCTTCCTTGCACACCAGTCTCTGGAGGCTTCCTTGTGATGCACCCTAACAACAAGCTCACTGTCAACGCCATCGAGGCCTTCCCCCTTGAGGACTTCTCTCCGGACGTGAGTCTACTTCCGCCTTGAACGTTGGCGATGCCCGCTTAGAAAGTGTTTGCTAGACGGCTTATACCATGGGTTCTGTTTACTGTTTTTCTATGTCTCTTGATCCATTTCATTTCTGCAAATCATTAGGCCGTCCGCTCTGCCCTTTCGGAAGCACAGCGAGTCGCTTCCGGCTCGGGCTCGCCGGAACAAAAGGCAGAGGCGGAGATCGAGGTGGAGGTCTACACTGCGCTCCAGGCCGCTCTCGGGCGCGCGTAGACGTTTCTCAAAGGGTCCGAATCAACACTGTTTGAGTCAACCTCGAAACGAATAGAGCCTCTGATTTGGTGTATAGTCGCGCTCAAGCAAAGAATGCACGATGCGAGACAGAACATGCAGCACAGATGGATCGTTGAGCGAAAGACTCGGGTAAACGTGATGCCATCACGAATCGGCTCAACGCGTGTCGGCGGTCTACTTCGGACATTGGAAATAACAAAATGATGACGTTGCATTCATTGCACAGCTCCCTAGTGCCGTAGATTTATCGGACATCTTCACCTGCTCATGCATAGTTCTCGGCTGAAAAAATTGGAACAAAGCGAAACAGACGGGTCAGCGATGCTGCTGTCGGCATATCAATGCACAAGACAGGCTCGTTCCATTCGTGGCTCACCCGGGTAGTAGTGGTCCGGATCATGCGGAACAGCGCCTGGCTGCAGCTTGAGGATGTGATGCGGCTTTTTGAAAGGCGGCGTCGGCGGCAGCTTTGTGGGGCTGTAGGCCTCTGTCTTGTGAACCTGCGCCAGCACATCCGTGAAAGCCTTGGGCACGGAGAGATCTGAAGGCGCGATGAGCGCTGTCTCCTTTGAGGTAGCTGATGACCCCTCGCCTGGTGGGGCGAGCGTCTTGGTACCGTCCTCGTTTGGTTGCGCAAGGAGGAGCTTCGTAAGACTCTCTTGCGTGATCATCTCCAGCTTCTCATACTTCCGCCTGAAGTCGCGACTGTGGTAGAGGTTGTCGGCGATGTCGGAAGCTCGCGAGGGAGGGATCGAGTGGTGCTCCGGGCGCGAACCAGGGGGAGGGTTGCGGTTCTAGGTGCAAGTGGTGGGGGATAGATTCAGTCTCTTGACAATCATGTTGCTGCAGCGTCCATCGTGGCGCTGTGGTGAACTCACTGTCTCGAGGAGAGGGATACCGGAAGAAATCTCGCTGTTAAGGGTTGAAGGATGATGTTCAGCGAACGTTTGCTATAACCTTGCAGCACACACATCTTCCAGCTGCCAGAATGTGCGCATGTTCAGAAGATGCGCCGCTTCTGGACCGAGGCTCTGGGCTGCCGAGTCCAGAAGTCATTTGCCCCGACCCTCTCCGACATGCGCTTCTGGTATAGCAATCGGCCTATCATGTTATTCACATGGCATGGGCAGGTAGGACAGATGCGGCCGAGCCGCTGCGTTGCGCAGAGCTATCCACGCATGCGACTGCCACCATCTTCTCTCCTTTGACAGGTAGCGTCTGATGTCCTAATGGCAATGCGCTTCCAGCACAGTAAGATGTTGGGCCTGCACTAGTCACTTACGGGTTGAGACGTGTCAAAGCCTTGAACTTTCGCCAGAACGGCGTCTTGCCCTCGATGAGGTGGAACTTGTGCGACGACACATATTCTTTGCTGTCTTGCAGCAGTCGCCGCGTGCCTCTGAATGCGACGCTCGCCATCTTGTACCGTCTATTTGCGCGTCCGGTCGAGCTCTGTTTCCGCTATTGAGTAGATCTCTGCGACCATGCCATGCACCAAAGACGAAAGTGAGAGCACGAGCATATAGTTAGATGATCGACGACCTCGAACTCGATACTCTCAAGCCAGCAGTGCAGCTGCAAAGCGCCTGCACACGCCAATCGGAACGCGATATGTAAAACCACGCACGCTCTCGTGCAAACCGCAAATACGTGATGACCGTGCTTAACATCAAACACTTCAAGAAACGCTCTCTATTTATCGAGGGCTTCTGTGCGTGCTGGCGAGGCGCGAGAGTCCGGCACCTTCTTTCAATCACGCACAGCTCATGCGAACTAAGGATGTCTTGTGGTCCGTCGCTCTCGCGAGCGTTCCGGGGATTATGAAGCCTCAGATGTTCCAAATGTTATCCTAGATTCGATCTCTACAATGAGTCGCGATGCGTACAAACTGCTGAACCCGTCAGGTAGGGTTTAAGCTTCTCCAGCCTCTCTGCAGCGGCTGCAAACTCTTTTTCCGTCTTGCAGAAGCTAAACCTGACGTACTTGTCAAACAACTTGGCGCCTTCGTCGCTCGCGAACGCCGTAGCTGGGATGCCAACGACGTCGACAGTCTTGGCAAGGAACCACGCCAGCTTGTACGCGCGGTCGCGCTTTTGCAAGTGCGGCGGGAACTCAAAGTCGGCAGGGATCTGCACGACAGACAGGTCGACCATGACAAAGTAGCTGCCAGATGGCCAGTGGTACGTCAAGCCGAGATCTCCAAAGATTGAGCAGAGGCGCTCGCGCCTTTGCTCATACTCGATGACCTGGCGCTCGAAGAAGTCGGATTTAGTCGCGTGCTCGAGCCCGACACCTGCTGCTTCGGAGGCAGCGCTGTTGCAGCAGAAGACGATGCGCGTGTGTGCAGCGAGAACTGGGTTTCTGTCCGTATCAAGTAGAATGTCAGCACGCAGCCTGCGGTCGCTAAGTAGAGGGAAGACACGCACAAGAGGTGCTTAGGACCGAGACACCAGCCGATGCGCCAGCCCGTGCATGCGAATGTTTCTGTTGATCACCGGCGAAGAGCAGTGTATGCTCAGTGCTTTGAATGTCGAATATTTGAGCGTGCGCAACCGAATCCACTCACTGCCTGCACTGCCCACTGTGATGGTGCGTTCCCACATGCCCTCAATGCTGGCGATCCTGATGTGCTCAAGCTTGTCGAAGACTAGCGCGTCGTAGACTTCATCAGCAACAACGAGAATGTCATACTTGATCGCCAGAGCAGCAAAGCGCTGTAGCTCTTCCAGCGAGAAGACCTTGCCGATGGGGTCTTGAAGCAGTGCAACGAGCAGGCGCGCCCGTTAGCCTTTTGTCATGCCCCAGTCGACGATGGTCAGCCGCATACACTCACTGTTCGGTGTGTTGAGGATGAATACCTTGGCTTTAGGATCGCTCATAGCCTTCTCTAAGATCTCCCAGTCGATTGACCACTCGTCCGCTTTCGGCATATCTTTACTTTTCGACTGACCAGCACCGCTGCTCGCATCCTTGGACTGCGGGGGGATGAGTGGGATGAAAATTGGTTCTCCATCGTGGAAGGTAGCCTCGCAGATGTATTGGTCGAAGAAAGGCTCAAACATCAGTACCTGCGTTAGGGCAGTCGAAGGGAAGGTCAGCATAGACGGAGCCCTGCAGCTGTTGTAGCACACTGCACTCACCTGGTCTCCCTTGTTGACAAATGCAAGCGTCGCGCAGTATATACCGCAGTTGGCGCCTGCGGTGACCTGGATCTCCGTTTCAATGTCGAGGGGTAAGCCATGATCAGCGCGTCGGCGTGGCAAGCCAGGGACGCCTTCTGTGCCAACGCGTGTGGTGGCTGGTGAAGACGAATGGTCTCCTTCTGCAAGTTGCAAAGCGCGTGCGCCTGCTGCGCGGTCTTCCTCGACAGAGGCTGGCTTCCGGAATGAGGCAGAGTAATGCGCGCTGATCGCTTTGCGCAGCTGCAAACGGCCTTTCGGGTGACTGTAGTGATGCGTAGCGACTCTGGGAGCAAGAAAAGGTATGATGAGTCACACTGTGGAGCAGCTTCGACACCTTGCGCTTTACGCACTGCTTTTCTGAGCCCGCATCTACGAGAGCGTCGGTGATGAATGACGGCGGTCCGAAGGACATGAATCCTGCAAATTCATCCCAATTTGGGAGTCAGCATGTTAAGGTCTGGCCAGATTTGCAAGACTGGCCGGCGTCGCACCTTGGCCGAGGTTTACCGCAGTGGGGAAGACAGCAGGGTTGAACATGCTCCATACGTCCATACCACGATTAACCTCATTGTACACTCGGGCGCTGACATCCTTTGTGAATCTGCTTGGCTGTCCCGGCGTTGACGGCGAATGCGGTTCTGGGGGGACGATCTGCTGAAGTGCGGACATGGCTGGAATGCTGTTGCGGTCACTGTTGCTCTTGCTCTGCTTCTTGCTGAGGCTGCTGGTGCCAATGTTGGCTCGTTCAGAAATGGGGGATGACCGGGCTCCGCACGCTGTGATGGCTGTACGGACCAGGTTACGTACGGGTGGCATAGGCAGAACGCTCGTGGAAAGAACTGCAGTAACAACGTTGCTCGAACGCCTGGCTTCCAGGGATCGAATGGTTACCGCGACCCGCGTCGAAACGGGAACCGTTTACGTGAACACCGAGCGGTATACGGAAGAGCAGAAAGACAAATTGTGTGGTGCGCCAACAAAGTAGTCTTCGCTGCTGCGCCGTTGTCCTTTCGGAAACACTTGCGTGTCAGAGGCACAAGTCTCAATCAGGTTCTCCAGCCGAATCCTGTCCTTATAGGACTATACTTGATTGCGGCTTTCTTCGGCAGTGCAAACGACGACGGGCGGGACCTACTTTCTACGAGCGTCTAGGATTTGGTTACGTCCTAGACGAGAGTCCGGTCGGCGGTCGCGAAATGCTGCCAGCAGTCAGTTACCAGAGCTTCCATCAGGATATCCCCGCCCGGACGCCCGGACTTGGGAAATAACCTGAATTCTGACGTGAGCTCTACAAATGACGCGCACCAGTTGAGCCCTATTCATCTTTTGGTCACTTCGAACAGCATAACATGTAGATCCAGAACCTCGGGACAGGTTCACAGCTTGAATGGATTGTGTGTGTGTGTGTGTGTGTGTGTGTGTG